ACATTTCATATCATTGACTGTAATGTGTATTTAATATTTTTTTGTTTTGGGGGGATTTTTTAAAAGAGAGTTGAAAATGGAGTTTGGTTTCTTCAATTATACCAAAAAGTTCATCCAATCATGATGCAGGACTTTGATTTTGGAAAAAAAAGTTCAAAACGTTATAACCCTAGTGGTTCCTGTTCCCTGGAGTTCAGTTCAGTGATGATTCTGGTCTTGGTGAAATCTCGGACCACAGTTGATCCTGATCCTTCGTCCGGGCGTCCACGATCCGTCGGCAGATCGTGGCGTAAGTGGCTCGGCGCTGTGAATGTGTCTTCTCCTTCTCTCATCCACTGCTCCCACGCGGCTAAACGCACTTTCACTTTAGAACAGCCTTGAGTTTAAAGTGGTTGTTGTGAGCGCGTCTCTTGACAGGTGCAGTTTGATATTAAAAGGAATCACAGTATCATATTGTTAGGTTTATCTAAACATTGTAAACAAGAAGAAAGACAAGAGATTAATTCAGTTTTACTCGCGAGGAGAACGGGCAGAGAGTGGGCATCAAAACCAACAGTCTCCACACGTTCTGATGACTCAAGGCTGTTCTCCTCTTTTTATTTCATTAGGAGGCCCTAGTTACAGAATGATAATTCTCAAGGGGAAGGGGAAACAGCAAAGACATAATAAGAAACTGATGCAGCTATGCATAGTCCAAACACATAAAACATGATTAACAATCAGGAGGTGCCTTAGGTCAGACACCATCATAACTCTTGCATGTGTGACAGTGGGAGTTGGCTTCATGTGAGGAATCATCTGGAGGTTCACTAGAGCGACAGGACACTGCACACAGTTGTCAAACACACAGAGGTTATTCAACAAGTGACAAGTGATTGGTACATTATAAATCAAAGAATTGTAGTACATAAATGGTTAACTCATAGGCCTAGAATATCACACAAGTATTTAGCAAATATGGGATAATAGAATTATTCTGACACATATTTTCCGGGCTATTAGTCGCTCTGGATTATAAGATGCACTGTCAGTGAATGGTCTAGCTTCGAACTTTTTTCACAAATAAACCGCACCAGACTCTGAAGCTCTTTCTGCCGCGTCGTCGTTGTAGCAGCTTTAGTTCGTTGTCACGTGGGACGGTGGCAGAAATACGCTGCAATTCGTTAAAAAACGCCAAAACAATCTAAAAAACACTTCAGTGACACATACAAGGCCCACACATCACTCTGAGAAGGTAGAAAGATCTGAAAAGTTGATTTTGCAGGAGATGGGCCCTTTAATTTCAAACAGTAAATACAGTAAATTGGGCCACTAACTTTTCCTTCTACTTATTTTTTTTTTTTATATATTATTATTAAATAACAGCGGTTTTACGATGTCCTCCCCTCCTGTGAGTGTGTGTGTGATGTTTGTGTGTCTCTGTGTTCCAGGTGTGAGTTCCGGGAGGCTCTTTTCTTCAATCCTCTGCTCAAAGTGAAAGGGAAAGGGCCCTGCAAAACCGGTGAGACACAAACAGAGACAGGACACATTTTTTAGAGTATAAGTTGCTCTGAAGTATAAGTCTCACCAGCCAAAAAATGCATAATGAAGAAGAAAAAAACATTTATAAGTCGCACTTTTTGGGGGAAATTTATTTAGAAAATCAGAGACCAGGAACTGACATTTCATCTTGACAATAACAACAGAAGAGAGAACAACAGACTTCAGATAAACTATAACATAAACAACAGAACAGAACAAGTTTAACAAACTCTCCATCTCACTCCAAATCACTAAATCCATTCAATTCTTCATCCTCGGTGTCACTTCTGAACAACTCGACCTCGACCTCCGGAGGGAAACAGAGCGACACAAACTCTTCTGTGTCGCTGTCGTCAGACTCAGCATCAGTTCAGTTAGAATTATTCTGGTCTTTCTGAATCTCGACAGGATGGTTTCAGTGTCACTGAAGGACCTCGGGTTAGACCTGGTTTAGACCTGGTTTAGACCTAGTTTAGACCTGTTTTAGACCTGGTTTAGACCTAGTTTAGATCTGGTTTAGAACTTGGGTTAGACCTGGTTTAGAGCTCGAGTTAGACCTCATGTTAGACCTTGGTTAGGCCTGGTTTAGACCTATTTTAGAAATGGTTTAGACCTGTTTTAGACTTGGTTTAGATCTGGTTTAGACCTCGGGTTAGACCTGGTTTAGACCTATTTTAGATCTTGGTTAGACCTAGTTTAGATCTGGCTTTGACTTGGTTAAATCCAGGTCCTGATTCTGATTATGGTTAGACCTGGTTTAGACCTCAGTTAGACCTAGACTTGGTTTGGGACAGCTTCCAGTTCAGACCTGGTTTAGTCCTGGTTAGACCTGGTTTAGACCTTGGTTTGGACGGGGGCTAGACCTGGTTATATTTACAGAATTATTCGGGTCTTTCTGAATCCCGACAGGATGATTTCAGTGTCACTGAAGTCCAGACTTTGTCCATCCATCCAGTGACTTCAGGAAAGTTTCATGGTTCATCCTCCCGGTGTCACAAGTTTCTCTCTCACTCCAAACTTTCTTTCTGCTGCTTGATTTCCGTTTTCAGCTGCAGATTTCACGACTTGCAGTTTGTAATAAGACGCAGGAAAAACCCAAACCATGAAAAAAGTGTGACTTATAGTCCAAAAAATACAGTACACAAAATTCAAGACAATTAAGAAACTGATTCGTATTTACACTGTTAATAATAATATGTGTGTGTATATATTATTATTATTATTTATTTATTTTTATCAAAATCACTACATTTAACACAGTATGGCATTAAGGCATTAAACATTTCTATCTTCACGGAGACCAAATCAGACCAAGTTCCAAGTCAGATCTGTGGAGAGGCGACTCCACTCACAGTCAGAATGATTATTTTTCTAGTTATTTTAGGGCTGTAAAACCACTTGTGGAGCTGTTTAAAGTCACACTCCTTTTCACTTTTGCTCCTGTGTCTGTACTTTTACTTAAGTACCAGAATGGAGTACTTCTTCCACCGCTGGTCTTTATGATGATGAAGAAGCGAATAAAAAAGAATGACAGTTTGATTTTAGACTTTTAACTTTTAACCTTCTCGTTTGAGCGTGTGCCGTCGCCGTGGAAACAGCCCCGAGAGACAAAGACGAAGAGGCACTTAAAATACCTCAGGAGCTATAAACCAGATGAACCAGCCCCCGAGAGCCGTCCTCAAACCCCCCCACCAGACCCCCCCCCAAACTCCCACAGACGCTTCAGTCCGGATCATCTCTGTTTTTTATGACCTCTTTTATATTTCACTTCACAGACTGGACCGGGCCTCCTCTGGACTCCATAAACCGGGTCTGGGTTTGATGGAGCGGGTTTTACCGGGGGCCTGGGTCCAGCTGGGGTGCATTCCCATCATGCTTTGCTTCAGGAAATGCCTCTAAAAACGTTTGTAAAAACCAAAAACACGCAGAAGAAGAATCAGCTGAAAAAACACACAACACTTCCTGTCAGTCTGGACCAGGTCTGGACCAGGTGTGGACCAGGTCTGGATTAAATCTGAACCAGGGTCTGGATAAGGTTTCAGCCTAGGTCTGAACCAGGGTCTGGACCAGGTGTGGAACTGGTCTAGACCAGATGTTGCAATTTACTATCCCATAAACGCATCCCAAACAGGACCGTGCCAAGACCTGGACCAGACCTGAACCAGACCTGGTTCCAAACCTGGATCAGATGAGACTTACACTTCTGTAAGTGTAAGTTCCTGTGTGTGAAGAATCTGTTTATTTATATATTATATATTATATATTATATATTATACTGCTTTTTGTGTTTCTCACCTGTGGTTGGTCTCTCACCCTCATCCAGCTCAGCTCCTCGACCAGAGTCTGGGAGGCTCACAGTTCTTCAGTATCTTTGCTGTTTCTGTTGCACTTTTCTCTGATCACCACAGGCTCCACTGGTCTCTCCAGATCTTCCTTGAGCCCCTGGGATTTCTCTAGTTTCTCGTGTTCCTTTTTCCAGATATTACCATCGCTTGGTGTCGTGATGAAATGGGATATATATATATATATATATATATATATATATATATATATATATATATATATATATATATATATACATACATACATACAGATAAGCCTGTGTGAAGAAACACAGGCTTATCTGTTACATGTTGTACATTTGTAGGGAGTATTATTTGTCGCTCTATAGTCTGGTGCAGTGGGTGAGTTGTTGTAAGGGTAAACGTCCAGTCTTTTCTTGTACATTTGTTGATCATAAACGTCGCAGACTCATGTGTCTGTGTTTTTGTCTCCGGAGCCTGAGGACTTCATCTGTTCTTCACTCACTGTTAATCCTGTTGTTTATGTTATAATCAAATCAGAAAACACAACAAGTCTCACATGAGGCTCTGTTTTTAGCTGTTTCACTCCCTAAAGAGGGGGGAGTCAGTGCTAGTGCAGCCTCTGCAGCTCAGGGAGGGAATTCTGGAGGTTCTGAGACAAACTAGCCAATCAGAGAAGAGCTGAACCAACCCGAGTCATGACAGCAGACTGCAGACGCTCCCCTCCTCTGGAATTCCTTTGTCAAATACAAACTTCACATTTTTTATTGCACCTTTAATTCACAAGTTCATCTCACAGACACGACAATGATCTTTACAGACGTGTTCACACTCTGCTTTCTTTGCTGTTGTGCTGATAATTACACGACACAAATGAGTGTTCCGCTGCATTACAAACATCACGAACAAACAGCAGTGAATGGTTAAATTAAAGTTTAAAAAAGTACCCACCTACCTATATATCAAGTTTCATCAAAATGTGACAAAGTTGGGTGCAGCTCATTGGGTGAACTGAGGTGGACTGACCCTGATCAGGCAGGAAAACAACGAGTTCAGTTCACGTTCTCAAAATATGAACGTTCAGGTACAACACTGCTGGTCTCTGTGCTTTTATTCTCGTTCTGATCCAGCTCCAGTTCGTTCTAAACACGTTCAGGAAAGCTTCATTTACGTCCTGTCAATGGGACTTTTTTACTTCTGGTCTCTGCCCAAACAGAGGCTCGAGTTTTCTCTCCTCTGTGGTCAGGATCTATTACCAAACTATTAAAGAACACCAACAAAGCTCATGTCAACACTCAACAACGCCCCGTCACAGTCTGCCACGTCACTCCACAGCTCCGGAGCCGTGGAGCCGGAGCCGTGGAGCCGGAATTGTTGAGCCGGAGTTGTGGAGCCGGAGTCGTGGAGCCGGAGCCGTGGAGCCGGAGTCGTGGAGCCGGAGTCGTGGAAGCCGGAGCCGTGGAGCCGGAGCCGTGGAGCCGGAGCCGTGGAGCCGGAGCCGTGGAGCCGGAGTCGTGGAGCCGGAATTTTGGAGCTGGAGTTGTGGAACCAGAGTTGTGGAACCAGAGTTGTGGAGGGGCGCGTGGATTTCCTGGTGTTCGCGGTGTTTTTGTGTTTTTTGTGTTGTTTTTGTGGTGTTTTTATGTTGTTTTTGTGGTGTTTTTTGTGTTTTTTGTTGTTTATGTTGTTTTTATGTTGTTTTTATGTTGTTTTTGTGGTGTTTTTGTGTTGTTTTTGTGTTGTTTTTTTATGTTGTTTTTATGTTGTTTTTGTGGTGTTTTTTGTGTGTTTTTATGTTGTTTTTGTGTGTTTTTGTGTGTTTTTGTGTGTTTTGTGTTGTTTGTGTTGTTTTTATTGTGTTTTTGTGGTTTTTTGTGTTGTTTTTGTGGTTTTTTATGTTGTTTTTGTGGTGTTTTTATGTTGTTTTTGTGGTGTTTTTGTGTTGTTTTTGTGTTGTTTTTATGTTGTTTTTGTGGTGTTTTTGTGGTGTTTTTGATGTTGTTTTTATGTTGTTTTTGTGGTGTTTTTGTGTTGTTTTTATGTTGTTTTTGTGTTGTTTTTATGTTGTTTTTGTGGTGTTTTTGTGGTGTTTTTGTGGGCAGTTTTCGGGGGCAGGTCTGACGTGGAGGAGGTGAAAGGGCACGGTGTTTGAGCTCTGACAATGTCTCTGTGTTTGAACCTCACAAATCCCACACTTTATGAAACCACGAACGCACCGCGGAAACACGACCACGCCAAGACCCGGCTCAGACCCGGACTAGACCCCGGACTAGACCCCGGACTAGACCCCGGACTAGACCCCGGACTAGACCCCGGACTGGACCGGGTTCAGATTATCTCGATTTGTACGATGTTTACTCTTAAAGTTTTGGTGTTAATTATGTAAAATCTTTATCTCTTTCTTTCCCTCGCTCTCTCTCCTCCTTCTCTCCCTCCCTCTTCATCACTTTCTCCCTCCCTCTCCCCTTCTTTCTCCCTCCTCCGCTTTTTGTCCTCCCTCCCTCTCTCTGTCTCCCCTCCCTCTCTCCTTACCCCCCCTTCTCTTCCCCTTTCCTTCTCTCTCCCTCTCTCTCTCACTTTCTCACACTCTTCCTCCCTTCTTCTCCCTCTCTCTCCTTCTTTCTCTCTCTCTCTCTCTCTCTCTTTCTCTCTCCCCCTTTCTCTCTCTCTCCCTTCCTCCCTCTCTTCTGCCTCCCCACCGCCCTATCTCTCTGCTTTCTCTCCCTCTCTCTCTCCTTCTCTCTCTCCCTCCTTCTCCCTTCCTTCCTCTCCCTCCCTTACTCCTTCTCTCTCCCTCTTTCTCTGTCTTTCTCTCTCTCCCTCTTTCCTTCTTTCTCTTCCTCCTCCTCCCTCTCTCTCCTTCTCTCTCTCTCTCTCTCCTTTCTCTCCCTCCTTCTTTCTCCTTCTATCTATCCTTCGTCTCCTTCTCCCTCTTTTTCTCCCTTTCTCTCTCACCTTCCCCAATCTCCCTCACTCCCTCTCTCTCTTCTCCTTCTCTCTTCTCTCTCCTCCGTCTCTCTCCCTCCATCTCTCTCCCTCCGTCTCTCTCCCTCCGTCTCTCTCCTCCATCTCTCTCCCTCCGTCTCTCTCCCTCCGTCTCTCTCCTCCATCTCTCTCCCTCCGTCTCTCTCCCTCCGTCTCTCTCCTCCATCTCTCTCCTTCGTTCAGTGCCGGTGATAAAGGTTCCTCCTCAGACTCAGGTGAACACGTCGGGTTCTCTCCTCCTCTTCCTGTGTGAGGTTTATGCGTTTCCCGCGGCGACGGTGGAGTGGCGGCGTGAGGGCCAGGAGGGGGCGCTGCCGGGCGACGACCCGCACTTCTCCGTCCAGGTAAGACCGCCGCCGCCGCCGCCGCCTTTCACCTGTTCACCTGTTCACCTGTTCACCCGACCGTCACGAGCGTCTGAACCCTGTCGTCTGAGTTTCCTGTTTGGTTCCAGTCGAGGGGCGGGCCTCTGAAGTTCGAGCTCTCCAGTTGGCTGCAGATTGAGGGGGCGGAGCTTCAGGACGCCGGGACCTATCAGTGCGTCGCCCGAAACAAACTGGGGGCGGTGACGGCGTCGGCGCAGCTACGGATCATGACACGAGGTACGGAAAACGACACGAGGTACGGAAAATGACACGAGGTACGGAAAATGACACGAGGTACGGAAAATGACACGAGGTACGAAAAACGACACGAGGTACGAAAAACGACACACGAGGTATGGAAAACGACACAATGTACGAAAAACGACACGAGGTACGGAAAATGACACGAGGTATGGAAAACGACACAATGTACGAAAAACGACACGAGGTACGGAAAACGACTCAATGTATGAAAAACGACAGGAGGTTCGGAAAATGACACGAGATACGAAAAATGACACAAGGTACGGAAAATGACTCGAGGTATAGAAAACAACTCAAGGTACGGAAAACAACTCAAGGTACGGAAAACAACACGAGACGGAAAACAACACGAGGTACGGAAAATAACACGAGGTACGGAAAACAACACGAGGTACGGAAAATGACACGAGGTACGGAAAACGACACGAGGTACAGAAAACGACTAAAGGTACGAAAAACGACACAACGAAAAATGACACGAGGTACAGAAAACGACACTGTACGAAAAATGACACAATGTACGAAAAACGACACGAGGTATGAAAAACGACACGAGGTATGGAAAACGACACGAGGTACGGAAAACGACACGAGGTACGGAAAACGACACGAGGTACGAAAAACGACACGAGGTACCGAAAACGACATGACACAAAGTAAAGAAAATGACATGAGATATGGAAAATTACTCAAGCTACGAAAAACGACACGAGGTTTGGAAAACGACATGAGGTATGGAAAACACGTACATATCGTTGTTGTTTTGTTATTATTGTTGATGTTGTTGTGTTTTGCTCAAACAAATAAAATGTATGAATGAGGTAACATTAGTTTTGTCTCAGAATGAGATCGCTGTGTACTTTCTGCATTGAATTACAGAGTATTTTTATCATCCGCGAACCAGGAAGTCCAGTTAGCCGCTAGCTGTTAGCGTTACCATGACGCAGTGGCGGACTGTGCATTTCACATGTGGGTCTTCAGTCGTGCTCCGTCTGAAATCATCCACTCCTCACTAACTATTTAGATAAACACATGACTCTTGTGAGGAGGATTCACGTGGTTCAAGACGGTCACTTTAACTCTAAAGTGCTGCGGGAAACACTGACATCTCCAGGACTGTCCTATAATGACCTGCGACATGAGGGACCAGGACTGAACCAGGACTGAACCAGGACTAAACCAGGACTGAACCAGGACTAAACCAGGACTAAACCAGGACTGAACCAGGACTAAACCAGGAACCAGGACTGAACCAGGACTAAACCAGGACTGAACCAGGACTAAACCAGGATTGAACCAGGACTAAACCAGGACTGAACTAGGACTGAACCAGGACTAAACCAGGATTGAACCAGGACTAAACCAGGACTGAACGAGGACTGAACCAGGACTGAACCAGGACTAAACCAGGACTGAACCAGGACTGAACCAGGACTAAACCAAGACTGAACCAGGACTGAACCAGGACTAACCAGGACTGAACCAGGAGGACTAAACCAGGACTGAACCAGGACCAGGATTGAACCAGGACTAAACCAGGACTGAACTAGGACTGAACCAGGACTAAACCAGGACTGAACCAGGATTGAACCAGGACTAAACCAGGACTAAACCAGGACTGAACTAGGACTGAACCAGGACTAAACCAGGACTGAACCAGGATTGAACCAGGACTGAACTAGGACTGAACCAGGACTAAACCAGGACTGAACCAGGACTAAACCAGGACTGAACCAGGACTGAACCAGGACTAAACCAGGACTGAACCAGGATTGAACCAGGACTGAACCAGGACTGAACCAGGACTGAACCAGGACTAAACCAGGACTGAACCAGGATTGAACCAGGACTGAACCAGGACTGAACTAGACTGAACCAGGACTAAACCAGGACTGAACCAGGACTGAACCAGGACTAAACCAGGACTAAACCAGGACTGAACTAGGACTGAACCAGGACTAAACCAGGACTGAACCAGGACTAAACCAGGACTGAACTAGGACTGAACCAGGACTAAACCAGGACTGAACCAGGATTGAACCAGGACTAAACCAGGACTGAACCAGGACTGAACCAGGACTAAACCAGGACTAAACCAGGAACCAGGATTGAACCAGGACTAAACCAGGACTGAACCAGGACTGAACCAGGACTAAACCAGGACTGAACCAGGACTGAACCAGGACTGAACCAGGACTAAACCAGGACTGAACCAGGACTAAACCAGGACTGAACCAGGACTGAACCAGGACTAAACCAGGACTGAACTAGGACTGAACCAGGACTAAACCAGGACTAAACCAGGACTAAACCAGGACTGAACTAGGACTGAACCAGGACTAAACCAGGACTAAACCAGGACTGAACCAGGACTGAACCAGGACTGAACGAGGACTAAACCAGACTGAACCAGGATTGAACCAGGACTAAACCAGGACTGAACCAGGATTGAACAGAACTAAACCAGGACTGAACCAGGACTGAACCAGGACTAAACCAGGACTGAACCAGGATTGAACCAGGACTGAACCAGGACTAAACCAGGACTGAACTAGGACTGAACCAGGACTAAACCAGGACTGAACCAGGACTGAACCAGGACTAAACCAGGACTGAACCAGGACTAAACCAGGACTAAACCAGGACTGAACCAGGACTAAACCAGGACTGAACCAGGACTGAACCAGGACTAAACCAGGACTGAACCAGGACTAAACCAGACTGAACTAGGACTGAACCAGGACTAAACCAGGACTGAACCAGGACTGAACCAGGACTAACCAGGATTGAACCAGACTAAACCAGGACTGAACCAGGATTGAACCAGGACTAAACCAGGACTGAACTGGACTGAACCAGGACTAAACCAGACTAAACCAGGACTTGAACCAGGACTAAACCAGGACTGAACCAGGACTGAACCAGGACTAAACCAGGACTGAACCAGGACTAAACCAGGACTGAACCAGGACTAAACCAGGACTGAACTAGGACTGAACCAGGACTAAACCAGGACTGAAACCAGGACTGAACCAGGACTAAACCAGGACTGAACCAGGACTAAACCAGGACTGAACTAGGACTGAACCAGGACTGAACCAGGACTAAACCAGGACTGAACCAGGACTGAACCAGGACTAAACCAGGACTGAACCAGGACTAAACCAGGACTGAACCAGGACTGAACCAGGACTAAACCAGGACTGAACCAGGACTGAACCAGGACTGAACCAGGACTAAACCAGGACTGAACCAGGACTAAACCAGGACTGAACCAGGACTGTCAGGATGGGTCTGGAGGTAGACTGTGGGGTGACTGCAGGTGAAAGGCACAGAGCTCCACACCTGATCACGCGTTACAGACAACCTGCTCCAACCTGCTTGAGGTTCTCACTCTCTCTCAAGTCCAAGATTAGTCCTGGTTTAGTCTTGGTTCAGTCTTGGTTCAGTCTTGGTTCAGTCCCCACATTGGTCATTAAAAACAGTAATACACAGTAATAATAATTTGTTTTGGTGTCGCTGTTGCAGTTTGCTGTTAAGTTTGGTTTTCTCTCCGTCCAATCACGGCTCTGAACTCGGTGTCGTTGTCGTTCGCTGTTAAAGGTCCCGGCGACACCAACTTAAAATCTGATTGGTTGAAGCTACAGTTTCATGGACATTTATTTTGTGTTGGAGTTCCTGCAGAACAGATTGTGAAGACCTCAGACTTCTGTGACTCTGACTCTGCCCGGCAACAAGTGACGGCTGAAATGTGATTGGTCAAATACTTTAATATGAAAATCCATGTGTGGAAGCAGCACAAACATCGGAAAAGATAGAACATTTGGAATGATTTATTAATAATATAATTAACATCAGTCTGTGATTCAGAGATTTTTTTGGCCAACAGAGAAGAACTTTCAGACCCTGACGGACTAACACTGCCATAACACTTAGAAAAGTGATTGCAGTGAAAAATTAAGATGCTAAGAATATGTGAGGAAAATGAGGTATGAGTTTAGATTGTTTATGTTTGTTTACGTTACAGTATTCTCTCGTCTGATTGGTTGTGAGTCGGTTTGCTTTGCTCTGATTGGTCTTGTTTTGCAGAGGATTTATCGTCGTATTTGGCCAACAGTATCTCAGAGATGAACCAGCTTTTGGACCCGGACTACGACCAGGACCTGTACTGAACACCAGAACAACGCCAGAACAACACCAGAAAAACGCCACTTCCTCACCACAAACCTGCCTGGAGAATCCGTGTGTCGTTCATTCATTCGTTTTTCAAATAAAAACCAAAAATAAGAAAATGAAAAAACAACAGTTTTCTTCATTATTTGTCTCCAAAACCAAAATGAAAAAACAGATAATGATTCATTTTTTCAGTTTTCAATTTTGTGTTTAAATGAAAAATGGAAAAAACGGATAATGGACTGAACTAGTACTGAGTGTAGGGACGGGCCCGGTCTGGTCCTGGTCTGGCCCTGGTCTTAATCCCGGTCTGGTCCAGGTCTCAGTCCTAGTCTGGTCCAGGTCTCAGTCCTGGTCTGGTCCCTTTCTGGTCCCAGTCTCAGTCCTCATCTCAGTCCTGGTCTGGATCCCGGTCCAGGCGCACCTCCGGGCCTGTCCCCACACTCAGTACTGATTTAGACCTGGTTTAGTCCTCTTTCAGCCCTGGTTCAGTCTGTTATCCATTTTTTCCATTCCCCCCCACAAAAAAAAACAAAAAAAACAAATCCTTATCTGTTTTTTTCATTTTGGTTTTGGAGACAAATAATGAAGAAAATAGTTTTTTTCTTTTTTCTTATTTTTGGTTTTATTTTGAAAAACAAATGAACGAATGACACACAGATTATCCTGATTTAGCTAAACAACACAGAGAGGAGTTTTATTTTTACATTTTATTTGAGTTAATTTAAGATGAAATTATGAACAAAACTGGTTCAAACTCCAACCCTCATTTAACTTTCATGGAGTTAAAATAACACTCCACAGCTCTGAAATGTTTTACCCTTAAATTTTAACCCTTTAGTTTTTGCTGTGTACATGTTGAGCTGTCAAAACGTTGTGTTCCACCTGATGATGTCATGAGGTGGTGTTTCTCTGTGTCTTCTCACCTTCACTTCACTGGATTTACACATTTCGGTGCTAAAAATGCCGACACTACAAATGGTGAACGCTGCTTTTTTATTTATGTGTGAATCAAAGAAAAACACAGTAGTGACTTGTGTTCAAAATGATGACTATTAATTGTTATGTTATTTTGGATTTTATTATTATTAAAAATGTATTCTCTTTTGTAGTTTTTATGTACGTTTTTTTATAAAGACCTGTCTGTTTATATTGGCTTTTATTTTGACCCGGAGTCTGCCTCATGTTGAACATTTGGCGGACGTCTTAGGAAATACTTTAAAATATAAGTTTTCATGAAAATGTGAAAACGTTTATTATGGTTTTGTTAAGATTTAATAAAATATTGTGAAAAGCTGTGGACTACTGGTTCAATGGTTCACTATCGCCCTCTGCTGGACATAAGTAAGTACATACAGAAGGTCTATTAATAACTTTTTGTTTTGTGTTTTTCAATTAGACTCAGACAAACTTTATTGATCCACAAGGAAAATTATTTGAACACAGCAGCTCACACATCACAATAAATATAACAAATATAGGCAGTAACAATAAATAATAAATAAATACATAAATAAAAGTAGCAAAAAAAGAGCAAGAGACACGTGTCAAATAAAACATACAAGTCAACATAAAATAGAAAAATAAGTAATAAAATATAAAATCATTCTACAGTCGTAGGGAGTATTATCTGTTACATAAGATTGAGTTGTGAAATTGTAGGGAGTATTATATGTTACATAAGAGTGAGTTGTACAGTTGTAGGGAGTATTATCTGTTACATAAGGGTGAGTTGTACAGTTGTAGGGAGTATTGTCTGTTACTTAAGGGTGAGTTGTACAGTTGTAGGGAGTATTATCTGTTAAATAAAGGTGAGTTGTACAGTTGTAGGGAGAATTATCTGTTACTTAAGGGTGAGTTGTTGTACAGTTATAGGGAGCATTATCTGTCCCTCTATAGTCTGGTGCAGTGGGTGAGTTGTAGGGAGTATTATCTGTCAATCTGCCCAATGTTTCTTTTACATTACAGTTACTCCTATTGTCTGTGCTAGGTTCTTTATTTGCAAATACGTTTATTTTTAACAGTCCCTACAACTGTACAACTCACCGTGCTGTAATAGATAATACTCCCTACAACTGTACAACAACTCACCCTTATGTAACAGATAATACTCCCTACAACTGTACAACAACTCACCCTTATGTAACAGATAATACTCCCTACAACTGTACAACAACTCACCCTTATGTAACAGATAATACTCCCTACAACTGTACAACAACTCACCTTTATGTAACAGATAATACTCCCTACAACTGTACGACAACTTACCTTTATGTAAGAGATAACCCTATGTCCTGTCAATCATCATATTGTTGCACTTTTCTCCTGTAACCTCTTGTATAAAACTGAGATTTTATATTTTATTAATTATTTTTCTATTTTATTTTGACTTGTACATTTACATTTATATAATTATGTTTTATTTTACACCTGTCTCTTGCTCTTTTTTGCTTCTTATTATAATTTCTTATTACTATTTATATTTGTTTACTCGTTGTTATTATATTTTATTGTGATGTGTGAGCTGCTGTGTCCAAATAATTTCCCTGTGGATCAATAAACTTTGTCTGAGTCTGTTCATTTTTTAAGGCGCGTCTCTTTTATTGTTTAACAGAGAAGCGAAGAGTTTCACCCAATCACAGCCCTCCGCTTACTGCGCTCGACCAATCGCAGAACCCCGGTCCCCAGGGGCCAATCAGAGCCGCGCGCAAAGCTCAGCCAATCGGAGCGCTTCCCCGTCCGACCGCCCAATGAGAGCACAACAACACGGTGACGCGCCCCGTGTGCCCCGCGCCTGCGCACTGAGCAGACAGCTGATAGCTCCCGATGCTAGTCCGATGCTACACGGCTAAATACAAAAGCCACGGAGCCCGGAGCGCGGAGCAAAGGGACCAGCGCAGCGCCTCTTCGCGAAGTAAAGCCGCGGATTTTGTGTCTCTTTGGGGAGGTGTTTGCACGGGGAGCGCCGCGGGGTGAGCGGGGGGGACGTGCGGATCGCGGCGCTGTGTTTTCGGGGTGGCAGCTCGACTCGGCGCCTTTAGACAAAGCTCGGGCTAACGGCTAAAAGCTAACGGGCTAACGGCTAAACACACGCAAAGGCGCCGCGTTCACTCGCCCAACGCCGCGCGGGCCGCTCACCGCCGCCGACCCCGCCAACCCCGCCGCGCATCGAGTCAAGAGTCGTGTTTGGCGTCAGTGCGGCGGTGGATCGTGCGTGCGGCGGCGCGGAGGGCAGATTTTTGCGCCACACTCTGCGCTGGAACAGCCCGTCTCCGCTGTGTAGCTTTAGCCGCGGAGCTAATGTTGCTAACTGTGTTCTGCCCGCCATCTTTTTAAAGCGAGAAAAACGGGACGTGTGTTCGACCGCGGCGGGACCGAACCGAGCCGCGCCGAGCCGTCCCCCCGCTCGGCCCGAGGACTCCCCCCGCGGCCGCGCTCCTCCCCGACCCGCCCGGACCTCCGTGCAGCGGGGGGGAGGCGTGCGTTTCCACCGGGTTTGGGCTTAGTTGAGCGGCGGGCAGCTGTTGGCGTTAGCCGCATTCAGGAGCATAACTCATGTCGGTGTCCCAGCGGCGCCGTGCAAACGCTCCAGCCTCCGTGCACAAACTTTACAAAGCCCGAGCGCTGGATGTGATATAAAAACATGTGCTGATCATGTGCACGCGTGTGTACAACCTTTGCCCTCGTCTGGATGTGGTTTTCGCGGGGACAGCTGGGGTCGAGGCGCGTCCAGCGGGGCTCATTTTAAAGCCCACACTAGATTAGATCATCCCAACAGAGATTGTCCCAAACTTTACGCACGGATTTGTTGTTATTGTGCTGAAATGTGCTGCTGGTTCACTTGTACACACGAAACACACAGACCTTGATGTGAACATTGTGCATTGGCTCGATTTACTTTGTGTTTTTAGGTTAGTTTTGCTCCTCTTTGCTCCTGCCTCTGGACTGAAAAAAGAAAAAGTTTGCTTGGCTTACATTACAGCAGTGTCTAAGGTAGAGCTTGTTTAGCCCAGTGTTTAGTCATTGTTCTTTCCCAGTTTGGCATGAATGCGTTGATATGAATACAGTGGATTCCAGGTGTTATTTTGATAGCTTTGTGATTTCTAAGGCAGTGATGTGTGTCAAATGACTGTTCTGTTCTAAACTGAGGAGATGTGCCCAGACATTTAAGTGATGGAGCCTTTAACGCTGGTCCTGACCTGTGAGGAGAGCTTTAAACAGCTGTAGTGGTTCAGACGGATAATGATGCAAATGTATGACAATCATATGGAGGGAAACGGTCACAGTTTTGGTCGGTTGAGATCGGAGTCCCTCGTGTTCACAGTGTGTTGGAAGAATACATTTCTGTCAGATTTTATCCAGAGTTAATTTCAGTTTTGTGAATTCTGCTCATGTTTGCCTCTTTCTACACGAGTCTGCGGTAGAGCTGTAATGAGTGGACTCGACCATACGAACTCTGTATTATTATATTATTAAATCAAAACGCAGTGGTGGGATGCAGCAAAGTGCAAGTTATAAAATAAAGCACTGTTCTTAGACACATTTTTGATAACTACTTTTATATAAGTACTTTTTACTTCTCTACATTTGAGAGCAGGTATCTGTACTTTCTGCTCCACTACATTTTTGAACAGAACTGTAAAGTTAAAGTATTTTTTCATTTTTGTTTGAGACCTGCAGAAAAGCCCGAGGGATTATTTTGAACATGTCTGTAGCTTGAGCAAACAAAAATACGCAAATATAAAAGGGGAAGGAAAAAACGATTGTTTCAATCGTATTCCTCTGGTATCTTTAGTTTAAAAAATGTATTTCTTCCACCACTGTCAAAACAGAATAAACAGTTTCAGATTTGTATCAATGATGCACTTTAGTCATTATTGTTCTCTACAGTTTGAGGTCTGGTCTGTGTGCAGGTCCCGTCTCTGCTGTAAAAGTTTGTGACTTACGATTATTTTGATGAATTTGACTCGTTAATAAAAGCTCCTGTCCGAATAATCAACAGTCCCTCAAAAAAATGTAAACATTTGGTCTGTGGGTCATTTGATGTCGGTTCCAAAAGTCTGTTTTATCAAATCTAAGTAAGACAAATCTTTAAGGCCTGGAGTTATATTGTGCCTGCACAGTGTCACAGTGATTTGGGATGTGAATTAAAAACATCTATAGTTGAATGTTCTGATGTGAGGTGGCCCTGGACTTTCTGATGTGGTTCAGTGGAGATGCTTGGACCCAGACTTCTTGTGCCTGCTTCTGTTCGGTCTTGTTTATCCTTTGAGTTCAGCCCACTGTGTGAAGTTCTGCTCTTTAACAAGGACATAATTATCTTAGAAATATTCTGGGTTTTGTGACTATTGTTTTTGGATTTGCGATGTTTTTTTAAGGCATCTTCCAGGACTGATGCCAGTTAACAAAGATAAACAATAGGGCGAGCAGGTTTTCTCCGCGCAACATCACACAGACTGGATAGTTCCCACACACGACGTTATGTTACAGAGATGTTTCCAGCCTTTGTGATCTGTGACAAGTTAAATGGTGATTAATTCTGTGCTTGATTTTTAACTCTGTGCTCTTGTGTTGAAGGTCGTGCGATGGACAGTTGTTTCGGGAGAAACTTGGATCTGAACTGAACCAAAACTCCCCAGACGAGTGTGTGGCTCTCAACTCTCCACAAGCAGTAAGTGTCTGAAGGCATCCGGTGTAACCTCACTCAGCCTGTTCCACGAGGCTGCAGGAGTCAAGTATCAGTCTGTTGATGTGGTAGTTTTATACTTTTCTAGTCGTTTAAACAAATAAAATACAGACTGAAAACCTCTAGATATCATTTTTAAAGAGTTTTACACATTAAATTGCAAAATGTGAATAATTTTTGTGTCATTTTGATTTGAACGGAGCTGATTTTTGTGGTGAAACTTATTCTTCAGTGTGTTCAGCCTAACTGTGTTTAGTCCAGATAACAAGTATTGATTATGTTCCATGCTGTAACATCCAAGTCTACAGAAGTATGTTATGAATGTATATCTGTGCATTTGTAGCATATTTTTAACGTTTCTCTCGCAGGTGGACACTGCAGTCCCCGGGTGCATTGCTGCGTGTTGACTCGGCATCATGTCTGACGCCCCAGAGACAGCGCCCCCTAGCCCCCCGGCCATCACCAACCCTCCCCCTCCCGAGGTCACCAACCCAAACAAACCAGGACGCAAGACCAACCAGCTGCAGTACATGCAGAACGTGGTGGTCAAGACGCTGTGGAAGCATCAGTTTGCCTGGCCCTTCTATCAGCCCGTGGACGCCATCAAGCTCTGCCTCGCTGTGAGTCAAACGTTTTAACACATCAGAAGCGTCTTATAACGGACTCCTCTTTCATTAAAGGTTGTATAGAGGATTTTTTTAAAGGGAAAAGAAATACAGTGACAGTCCTTTTTCAAATGTTGTGCATGTCTGACACCACCTTCCTCCTCCACAGCTCCCTCAGTAGAAACATCTCCTCCTGCCTCTTTACTCTAGAAATCACGTTTGTTCACGTCCAGTGTGTGTTCAGAATTACTGCTGAAGTGACCTGTCTTGAAATAATTTAGCGTCAGTTTTTAGACCCTTTGTCTGCTTCATTCGCACAATCGCTGGAAGAGATCTCCAAAAATCACATGTTTGGCTTTGCTCCTTTTCTCCTTCTCTTCTTGTTTCAGCGACCTCAAAAACGGACTTTGTTTTGCGGCAAACTGGTCGTGGATTCTCGTCCACCAAACTTTGTGCGAACTGTGAGGAAACTACAGTTTAAAAAAGCCTCTAAGAACCGCTGCATAAACCACATAATCCCCACGCGAGTCAGTTACACTAGAAACGTAGGGAGTTTGATTGACAACCCAACAGCCAATAGAAAATGAGGCAGCCTCGTTTTCTGTTGGCTGATGTTTATCTGCTCTCAACACATCCACAGTTGATAGATTTTCATTCTTTTTTTTTTTTTTTTAGTCAACATAATTACAAGGCTGCTGTGTCTCTGTAATGGTATTTTAAACTTTCATTGACAATTTGAAACTAAAAAAAAAAATCCTCCATGCAACCTTTAAGTTGTAGTTGTATGTTGAGTAATGCTTTTTGGTAGAGGTAGGCTCAAAGCTCCAGCACAGGTCGATACTTTGTTTTGGCCGACCTGCTGCTTAAAGAGTAACGCCCAATAACTGCTCTGAATGTAACTGCACTCTTACAGGTTTGTGGTTTAAAAAAATAACAATAATAATAATTGCATAATTGGGAAAATAATCTAAATTCTCTCGATTTATCAGCCCAGTCGGAGCAGATTTTTGATCTTGTCCTTCGCTCTTGATATTTTTATTACAGTGTTTTTTGGACTATAACTCGCACTTTTTCGGGGAAATGTATTTTAGAAAATGAGAGAACAGGAACATACATTTCCTTGTTGAGTCAAGTTCTAGTAAAAGCAATAGAAGAGAGAACAACAGACTGTTAACTTCACATATGAACAGTTCTTCAGATAAACTATAACATAAACAACAGAACAGAACAAGTTTACCAAACTCTCCATCTCACTCCAAATCACTAAATCCACTGAAGTCACTGAAGGACCTCGGGTTAGACCTGGTTTAGACCTTGGGTTAGATCTTGGGTTAGACCTGGTTTAAACCTGGATTAGGTTGTGGTTGGTTAGATCTAGTTTAGATCTGGTTCTGACTTGGTTTAATCCAGGTTCTGATTCTGATTCTGATTAGACCTGGTTTAGACCTCAGTTAGACCTAGACTTAGTTTTGGACAGCTTCCAGTTCAGACCTGGTTTAGAAATTGGTTAGACCTTGTTCAGACCTTGTTCAGACCTTGGTTTAGACGGGGGTTATACCTGGTTATATTTACAGAATTATTGGGGTCTTTCTGAATCCCGACAGGATGGTTTCAGTGTCGCTGAAATCCAGACTTTGTCCATCCATCCATTGACTTCAGGAAAGTTTCATGGTGCATCCTCCCGGTGTCACAAGTTTCTCTCTCACTCCAAACTTTCTTTCTGCTGCTCGATTATCGTTTTCAGCTGCAGATTTCACGACTTGCAGTTTGTAATCTGCAGAATCTGATTTTGTTTTTCGGGGGCATTTGTGTTCAGTCTTCTCAGTCTTTGTCTTTATAAGTTTAAAGTTTAAATGTTAAATAGTTGAGTGGTGCAGAAGTAACGGTGCGATCGACTGACATGATACAGACAGAACAGAGGCTCTTTCTGCAGGAGACATGCGCAGTAGAGCCAAGTGACAGTGGTGCAGGAGGAACAGGAGCAGCAGATCCTCACACACAAGACTAGAACCTCTCCACACTTCACCAAAAACATTTTAATATAGAAGTCACAGGAAACACACAAACCATGAAAAAAAGTGCAACTCATAGTCCAAAAAACACAGTACTCTGGATGTAGCAGCGTAACTTGGCTGTTTTGACATAAAGAATGAATGCAGTGTTTGCTTCCGTGATCTGTATCTGTTTGTGGGCAGAGCCGTTGTGCTTAAATGTCATTTACAGGGACGTATTTTCAAGTTGCAGATTCAGGACTCATTTAAAAAAGTTGTTTTAGATCAGAATTATAGTTAACACGGCGTGAAAAATAAGCCGTATCTCATAACTATATACCAGAAAACTGCATGAGAAGTGTTTTTAAATCAAGATTCATACATTTTCTACGTGCAGGACAGGCATTTCTGCTGGTCTGGCTCTTGTTTTGTTTGCATCTAACTTGCTGTCTGTGTGTTTCAGGATTATCATAAAGTGATAAAGAACCCTATGGACATGGGCACCATAAAGAAACGTCTGGAGAACAACTATTACTGGAGCGCCAGCGAGGCCATGCAGGACTTCAACACCATGTTCACCAACTGTTACATCTACAACAAGGTAAACTGTCACATGCTCTTTAAACACAACCTCATTCAGACGACGCAGACGGTAAAGGAGCAGACTTCACTCCAACAATGCTTGCTTTGGTTTGATGATTGCAGGAAAACACGGAGATGTTTGTTATTGGTTGTGCACAGTACAGTGGTCCTTCGTTTATCGTGGGGGGTTACGTTCCAAAATTAACCCACAATAGGCAAAATCGGTGAAGCAGCCAGCTTTCTTTTTTACAATTCTATCTGTTTTAAAACCCCTCAGCACACACTTTATACCATATTTTCCGGGCTATTAGACTCGCTCTTAAGCCTCCAACCCCATCAAAAAACGACAATCCAGAGGGTCTTGTACACGAATCCACTCAGGTGTCCCAGCACGACTTCAGTAAACTACAAAGGTACAGAACACGCAAACACACACGGAGCAGACAGCGACAGCCAAAAACACCCACAGACACACTAATCACTCCATGCCGACGAGGAGGGGAACACAAAAGCAAGTGCAGTGTGCCACTTTTAGACACGACTGAACAACTGAGTCACTGCGAACACGCCGACAATCCGTTGGTCCCAGACACACCCTCCCTACACGCCACAACTGAACAAAGCCCAGAGTCACCGTGAACGCCACAAACAAACAAAACCACTCACCCATCACACTGTTGTGTTTCCTTTAAAGTCCCACACCGTTTATTTGTGAAAAAAGTTCCAAAATAGACCATTTAATGACGGCGCGCCTTATAATCCAGAGCGACTAATAGTGCAGTAAATACAGTACACTTTTCTCAGACGGGACAGTTACAACCCTTTTTACATCCTTCTTAAAACTTATTGCTGCTGTCGTCCTTTTGTTATTTTCCTCCTTCTTTATGTAACAAACCGAAGATTAATTTATTTCGTAATGTGCTACAGCCGTGTAACTTCTCCTTTCCTTCAGCGTGTCCAGAAGTCCAGCTTTTTGTGTGATTGTTTTTCATCTTCCTCTGTCTTTTGGGTGCGAGCGCAGGAGACTTTGTCGGTGCAGAAGGTTTCGTCGATGTTGTGGTTTTTGTCGGGGAGAGAACTCTCAAACATACAACACTTCAGAATCACACTGATACAGATCCAACATGTAAATTTGTCAAACTGAACACATTTTGTACTGAACAGGAAACACAGCACGGAGGAGATTGATTGACACAGTCTCTTAGCCAATCTGGACGCAGGGGGAGGATTCTTGCGCCTTCATACACTGTTAAAAAAAAAAAAAAGGACACAAAATTGCACAAAATCTGCGAAACAGCGAGGCAGTGAAGGGTGAATGGTGTTATAGTGAGGGACGACTGTAGTGTGATTTTCCTTCTTGTGTCTCCAGCCCACAGACGACATCGTGCTCATGGCCCAGGCCCTGGAGAAGATCTTCCTGCAGAAGGTGGCTCAGATGCCTCAGGAGGAAGTGGCTCTGCTCCCTCCAGCTCCAAAAGGGAAGAAACAGAGCAAGCAGCCGGCCGCTAACCCAGGTACAGACGATGGTATAGACCGGAACTGAAGTGCACCTGACGGCATCTGACTAAACGCCCTGTGTACTTTTGTGTCCTCAGTGAACCAGCAGCAAGCAGAGTCCTCCTCCCCCTCCCCCTCTCAGACGCCTGTAATCTCAGCCACGCCCACACCTCTACAGGCCACTCCCCCTGCCTCCGCCCCACAGCCGCCGGCCGCCATCATGCCCTCCGCCCAGCCCGTTGTCAAGGTATGCCAAAAGATAACACACACATATATACTACGACTCTGAAACTACACTGTGAGTACCGGTCCGAGCGTCACATTCTCTCGGCAGAAGCGTCCCCCCTCCTTCCTCCAGGTGGCCCCTTCTCTTGGCTGTGCCCGGGAGAGGGAGGACGTTCTCGCTGCATCACACGCTATGATGTATTGAGTTACAGGCTACTTTTTTATGATGAGGGTCTGAACAGAAGATGCAAAAGTGGCGTCGCGTCTTCACTTTTCATTCCTCGTTTAGACGAGCGTTTTATGGTGGAATTCGATTGTGTATTCATCCCAGGCGACTCGGTGGTGATGTATGTGACATAAACACGTACGGGACCTGAGCACATCTGACCAGAGTTTTGTGTCTTGGGCAGTGTAAAAGGAAAGGCTACAGCAGAGCGTATTCAACTTTTCCACTCCAGAGGTGGTTTCAGATTTTTGCGTTTTTAAGCCCCAAAAACACCATCACCGTCTAAACGAAAGGCACTTCCCATAAAATATTTTGTCGTTTTTACGTTCTCGTGTAAACAGGCTCAGAAAATCGGAATTCTATATTGTAATAAAATGAAATGTGAGTGTTCCAGACTAAATGTCGGGCCTCGTTTATGTCATTTTACTGATTTTCCCAAAGCAGCACTTATGTTTTCAATTTGTAATATCAATATAATTCTCATTTGCTCACAGAAGTTTACTGAAATTGTATTTTTTTTCTTGTTCCCCATGTCCTACACCATCTGTAACTATTGATTTGGAAAGAAATATTAATTATTTCCTGACCTACATGAACATAATTTGTAAGCAGCGTAACACAAGCAATTTTACAAAACTACAGAATTTGTTCTAAAATCAATCTGAACTATGTGTTTCATTGAAATATGTAAGATAAAATCCTGAAATCACTCCAAAACAAAAAAAATCTGTATGTAGATAACTTGGTTTCATAAATGGTTCAGTTCAGGGGAGTTTTGAGCTGATTTCCTTCTCTACACTGGCAGTAAAAACCCTTCATTGAGCTTTGTCGGTTTGGGGCTCCTCATGGGTCAGGGTCAGGACAGGGTCTGGATGTATTTCTGACCTGGTTTAGACCTTTTGTTTTGGCTCTTGTTTAGTCTGGACTCAGGTTTGACCCTCCTTCTCTGTGTCCTCAGCAGAAGAAAGGGGTGAAGAGGAAAGCGGACACGACCACTCCCACCACGTCCGCCATCTCCTCCAGCCGCGCAGACTCGCCCACGGGCCCCGAACCCAAAACCAAGCCCTCGCGCCGCCCCTCCGCCAAGTCCAGAGAGGAGCCGGGAGCCGCCGAGGCAGTGGGCGGGGCTCCGGCGCCGGGGGCAGGCGCCAAGCGGGTCGGGGCGGGGAAGTTAGGGGAGCAAATGAAACACTGCGACGCCATTTTGAAAGAGATGCTCTCGAAGAAACACGCGGCGTACGCCTGGCCCTTCTACAAACCTGTGGACGCCGAGGCGCTGGAGCTGCACGACTATCATGACATCATCAAGCACCCCATGGACCTCAGCACGGTCCGGGTAAGAACCACTCCGCTCATGTCCCCGTAACTTTAAAGAAACATGCAGGTTTATACAGTTTAAAGCTCCTGGATCACATAAAACTGACTCCTGTGAGATTTTAGTTGTGTTCTAATGTTACCTCCTAAACACAGACCTGGAGTTGTGTTTTGTTTCATTCACATGTTTGAGTAACTTTTTATTATTAGTCTGTCTACATCTGCAAATCTCACAATGCTCTGTTGTACCTTGTGATGTCATGAAGTGGTAGTTTTCAATTTAACAGCTCCTTTTACCTTTTAGTTCAGCAGAGATTGACAGTTCCAGAGCTGAAATGATCCAAATGATTCTCATGAAGATGTTTAGAGTTTAAAAACACCGTGGAGCACTTCATGTATCACCACATGACATCACAAGGGGGAACAGAGGTTTTTTTTTTTTTTCAGTTTAAGGGAAAAAGCTCTGCCTAAATGTGTGACTGAAACAAAACACAACTCCAGGTCTGTTTGTGACGAGAAAACGACAGTGGAACAGATCAGAAAATAGTGTAACATGGGCCCTTTAATACGGATAAACACACCTGCTGTTTAAAATTCAGATTTGTCTGACCAAAAGTGCGATCTTGAATTTTCAATACAAGTATCCACCAACTATTTATTTTGCACTTTTATAACCTATAACCATAAAAAGGGCAAACTAGATTAAAAATAAGGTCTTTATATTGAAGCCTCCACCTTTATGAATGCAGAAAATTGAACATCATCACTTTAAAAAAACCTTAGAGAAAATTGGATTCAAACATGGACAAAAGCTGCATTGTGTAACTTTTCCGGTGGAGCCTCCGTCAAACGCTTTTCTCGATGGAGATGTTATTGCTTTGTCTGGAATGTTCCACAGTATGGCATTAAACTTTTCTGTCTTTACAGAGACTAAATCAGTCAGAGTTACAGGTCAGATCTGTGGAGAGGCAATGCCCGCTCACGGTCAGAATGTCTGTTTTTCTGTGTTTTTGAGCGATAAAACCACCTGTGAATGAATAAATATAAAGTAGAGCTGTTTAAAGTCGCACTGTGGAACATTCCAGACAGAGCAACGACAGCTCCATAGAGAAAAGGAGCTGGCAGATCCTCCACGAGACGAGAAGTTACACAATACACTTTTAAAATACAATGAAACATCCAACGATTGAATGGTTCTCAAACATTTCCTAAAACTCTTTTTAAATTACATTTTTGGTGCCGTCATGAGCCAGATGTGAAAAATGGCTCCACACTTCACATCCTCTGTACCCAAGGCAAAACCGAGTTCTTAATGTGACACAGCTAGACCTTTTTATTGTCCAATATGAAGCTTCTGTCCTCCAAGAGCATAGGTTTGCATTGGGACGGTGGGGACATGTCACAACCAATATTTGAGGAAGACAAAATGGTCCCTATATTCCCAATATTTTATTTTACAAAAATATAAATTTATTCCGATATTTTTCCAATCTCAGTAGTATTAATTGAACATGTTTTAGTAATCAGCTAAACATCTTAGAACGAACGGACAATGGACCCAAACTGAAAAATGAAACCACCTCTCACTTATTTTACTCAGACTGTTTTATGAATTCTTTCCAAAAACACACACATGCAACTTCTTATCCCATCTGACCGTTTCCCATTTGGTTTTTGCAGTGTGTTGAGACCAAACCAACGCCCTTGCTGTCCTCTAAATAAAGTTTCTGTTTTGTTTTGTTCAATCAGAAAAAGATGGACAAAAGCGAGTACAGCGACCCCCAGAGTTTCGCCACAGACGTGAGGTTAATGTTTTCCAACTGCTACAAGTACAACCCCCCAGACCATGAGGTGGTGGCCATGGCGCGCAAACTCCAGGTGAGAAACACACACGACTATTAAACTCTTTGTGTTCGAATCCCTGCATTAATATAACTCCCAAGTTCAGTTTATTTCCCATTTGCAGTAAAAAAAACAACACATGGATAAAGGCGTGAGAGAAGCCGGAGTACACAGCATTCATACAGACGAATTAAAACATTAAAAACACAAACATGAGGGACGGGACGAGGTCAAATCACCACGAGACTGTGCGCACACGGAGACAAATCCGTGTCACGGGCATGAAAAGGTTAACACCTGTATTATGGTCGTGCGTCAAATCGTCTGTGTCGCGTTGAATTCATGTGTCATTCATTCATTTGTTTTTCAAAATAAAACCAAAAATAAGAAGATGAAAAAACATTAACTATTTTCTTCATTATTTGTCTCCAAAACCAGAATGAAAAAACAGATAACGATTTGTTTTTTTCAGTTTTCAATTTTTTTGTTTAATTTAAACTGCGGTGCCGGACTAAACCGGGACTGAATTGGGACTAAACCGGGACTAAACCGGGACTGAATTAGGACTAAACCGGGACTGAATTAGGACTAAACCGGGACTGAATTAGGACTAAACTGGGACTGAGTGTCAGGACGGATCCGCATAGACTGTCTGGTGACCTCCACCAAAAGGACCGGTGCAGAGCTCCACGTCCTGGTTCAGTCCTGGTTCAGTCCTGGTTCAGTCCTGGTTCAGTCCTGGTTCAGTCCGTTATTTCTAGTTTTCATTTAAACACGAAATCGAAAACTGAAAAAACAAATCATTATCCATTTTTTTATTTTGGTTTTGGAAACAAATAATGAAGAAAACAGTTATTTTTTCTTTTTCTTATTTTTGGTTTTAATTTGAAAAACAAATGACGCACGGATTACTTTGAACCCTCTCCGCCGAGCGTCTGTGTGGACCGACATGCAACTCAGAAATTTTGTAACTACGAGTCGAACCAACACACAGTAAAAGAATCAACACAGACAATAACGGCTGTGATTGGTCGTCTTTACACCTGCTCTACAGGCATTTCCAGTGCTCCGCTTTCCTGCTTCATTTTGTAAACACGAATGCCATGTTTAAATCGTCGCCTTCTGGTGTTGTGGCGGTGAATTACTTCGCATCAACCTCAACGCAGATCCATAAATCGGAAACGGCGGCGACAGTGAGTTGAGTTGACGCAGAACTATAATTCAGCTTTAAGCGTCGCTCAAACTCTGGAAAGTTGGGGATCTTTGAGCAGCTGTAGCGAAAAGTCTCCTCCACACACAGACGTGCGGCTCACGTTTTCAAACACAGAACATTTTAAACTCTTAAGACCGATATCAACGCACATAATCAGTGCTAAAGGTGGTTAAAAAAGTGAGTGCTAAATATGATCAAGTATATGCACCCGCGAACAGCACAAGGCATGAGGTGTTTTTCACACTTTAACACTGTTTGAAAAAGATCCACAAAGAAATATTTACGTCTTATTCATCCATAACATGAAGTGAGAAAAGAGAGAGAAGTGTGCTCTGTACCAGCAGGGGGTTTTGTTTAATAATTTAAATGATAAAAATGAAGTTTAATAACATATTGTAGGCCTATTTTGTGACGCACGTGGGGAATTGGTGTTTAAAGCATGAAGGGTGTTTAATGCAGCAAAATCAAATGCGGAAAATTATGTAATTTTTTATAACTATCAACACATAAAATCCATTCACAACACAACTTATAAAGACATTAAACCAATTAAAAATCATATGAACACCATTGTAAATCAATCAGATGATAGTAAATTGGTTCCAAAGTCTCATTTCGTCTCATGGACCTGATCTCGAGTCTTGTTTTGTGAAAATTCTGACTAGTCCCACCCCCACAAACCGCAGTAAAAGACGGCATTAAAACTAAATTTAGTCAAAGATTAAAATACATACATTTTTAAAAAGTGCCTGCTGCAGTCTGAAAATGCGTTGTTTAGAGCGCTGTAGCTGTAGAGCCTTTTGTGTTTGAATCAGGCAGTGATCAGACCGTACACTCAGCGACACCCCCTTCAAACGTGTTTCACAGACATATTCTCTTCTTCTGAAACCGATGCCAGTACTTGGTTTTGAGCCTCTGCCGACACTTGTGCAGGGAGCTAATGGTGAACTGCCAAATGAATCCAAATGATCTAAGAGCGACTGTTTTTATCTGTAACTCTGCAACAGTGAGAGTTAACGCAGAAGACCTCTCTCTGCTCGTTTCCATGGAAGTGTTTGGTTAATAATAATTCTCCACATTATGGCTTAAAACAGTTTGTTTCCATTGAGAACGTTTATGAAGTTTGATTTAATGTTCTGTTTCCATGGAATCATGCAGGTGACTGCCACGTAATGTTTTTTTGGCAACTGTGAATATGAAGAAAAGAGGAATCAAAAATCTGTATCAAAAACACAGAAATGGAAACGGTAACAGATTCAATTTTTTTAAGCAAGTCCAGATGATAAACTCAGGGTCCGTCCACATTAGTGTGTATCTGAGTCATTTTGGTTGTGGGTGCAGTGTTAGTTCACACTAATCCGATTGAAACGGCTCCAGAGACGGAACGATCTGGTGCCTCCAACTCCCACGAATTCATGTTCGTACAGATCTGATCCGGCACCGTGTGAACTAGGGATGGGCTTGATGAGTCGATTAATCGATAATTGATCATTAAGAATTTCATCGATTACGTTAATTTTAATCGACAAACTGAATGTAGGTTGTTGTGTGTATCGTTTCCAAAACAGGTGTGTACATGTGTCTCTGTATCAGAAGGAGCGAGACACAAACAGTGGGTCAGTCTGTAACGAACCGAAGCACAAATGTGGATTTAACCAGGATTTGTAGAAGAAATTCCACACTTTCCGTTGCGTTGGGACAAGTGTGAGTCCATGTGCACAGTGTATAAAGCAGCACATATGTTTCTGTGTCCAGTGGGAAAAAGTTTTTCCAGGTGAGAGTCGCTCAATGTGGATGATGAGGCCCCGCCCCCCTCCCCCCGTACGCTGTCCTGGTTTTGACAAACACAAATCTGGTCACACTAACCTGTGTGAGTCATGTCTTTTAATCCAACAGAAACTTGAACCACATCAGTGACACAAGAGCTGGAGTTTTATCTTCACTTAGTTTATGTAAATTAGTGATGTGGTTTTAAGTTTTGTTTCTGTGAGAGTTGCGCAAAACTGAATTAAACACATCATAATCTAAAACGGATTGATGTGGCACTAGAGTGGTTACGGTTTATATGTCGTAAAGTTGAATTTATTTATGCAGATTAGTGCAGATAGTAATAATAATGATGATCATTTTAATATAAAAACATTAATGATTAATCGATAATCGGTCGTTAATTCTTCCGACGATCGATTAAGAAAATTTCATCGAATGCCCGTCCCTAGTGTGGACGCCTGAAAACACTGATACTCTGATGTAGGAGCTCGAGTCTCGTCTTTATTGGACCACGTCACTGTGACTCGCTCCTTCCTGATTCTCTGGGTTCGTGACATCGATCATGTGACGCTGTTGCAGAAAACGCTTTATCCATTACACAATAGTTCTGAAATCTTACTGATTTCTTGGAGACAGTCACAGACCAGGAACTATGAAAGTCCGACTGTTGCTCCTTCCCCCGCCCGTCCTGAGAAAGCACAGGCTCCGCCCTCCAAACGTGACGCAGACTCTGAGTGAGCCGCCCTTCCTCCGCCCGTCTCAGGGAGGGAGGGGGAGACAGACGTGACCCTGATAGTGTCAAGAATAAACTTTTATTCATCATGGAGATACAGCGCGTTCAGCTGCATGTGTTGGACCCGGAATCGGACGAGGAATTTGAGGAGCACGAAGCTCAAGCACCGCGTCCACATCAGCTGAACATTACTGATTGGTAAAGTTTTAATAAACACTAGAAGATAAACTTATTATATCAGTGTAGAACAATGAGCTTATGCCGTTGCTTTTGTTTAGGTTCATGTGGGAATTGTCACCGAGGCGGGGCGAAGGTGGCGGAGGTGGTGGAGCGGGGGAGGGGGGCGGTTGCGTCATAGGTGTATCTGCCGCGTCATCGTTGTAGCAGCTTTAGTCCGTTGTCACGTGGGAGGGTAGCAGAAATACGCTGCAATTTGTTAAAAAAACGCCGAATCAATCTAAAAACTTGCGCGACAAATCCAAGGCCCACACATCACTCTGAGAAGGTAGAAAGATCTGAAAAGTTGATTTTGCATGAGATGGGCCCTTTAAACTAACCAGAGACAAACGGGAAACGGCGGAGCTACAACTACTTGCGAGTTCACGATCCACGAGAAGTCTGTTTTCACGCTTGTCATCTTCCTCGCCTCGAAATCAGCTGCTGCACCTTCAGACATGGTGCTCCACGTCCTTGGTTTTACCGCCCACGTAATGTCGTGACGTCAGCCTTGTTGTGTGACTCTCGTTTCAGGCGGTTTTGTATTGCTGTGTGGACAGGGAAGGCTTTGATTGCGGACACAGAAACGACGTGGACACAAATCGTTTTCGATACGGTGATTCGTTTCAGTGTAAAACGTAACCTCGGATGAAAGCAATGCATTCGACATGTATAAAACAAAAGCATTTCAGTAATGATCAAATCCAAACAATTTTAAATACCAATTCACTCCGCACACTTTATTGTGCTCGAATACAACCAAACCTTTTTAATATTGAATTGATGTTTGATGCAGCAACTTCAAAACTGTTGCCTCAAAATTAAATCCCTATTAATGCTCCAAAAAAGAGCAATAACAGAGATTCACAACATTAGAATACATGGAGCTTTTTTGGACACTCAGACGCTTTACAAACGGGAAGAAAACTGGGAGAATCCTGGGGGAATGTCAGTGAACAGGTGAGTTTTTAGTAGAGATTTGAAGTGTTGCGATGAGTCCTGATGTTCCTGATGGATTGTGGGAGTTTGTTCACCTGAGCACAAGGGATGGGACAAAATCTCACGAGGCAAAATTGCCACAAGATCATAAACACGTGAGGAAAAATGATCTCGTGAGATTGTTTCACGTTGAATTTACCTTTTGGTTTGGACAAAAAGAGTGAAGAGCTGGTAAGTTTTGCAATTTGAGAAGCTGTAGTTCCAAAAAGCAGGACTACAGTGACCTCTAAAGTGTTCTCGCGGTGTCTCGTCTCGTGAAAATCCTCTCGTCCCATCCCTGCTGAGTGTATTTGTTTCTTTCGCCTGTTCCTCACTCTCCCGTGTCTCTCCCAGGACGTGTTCGAGATGCGTTTCGCCAAAATCCCCGACGAAGGGCTGGAGGCGTCCGTCCCGTCCACGACTCCAGTGGTCAGTAAATCCACCGCCTCCTCCGACACCAGCAACAACTCCTCCTCCGACGAATCCTCTGACTCTGAGGAGGAGCGAGCCACGCGATTGGCCGAGCTCCAGGAGCAGGTGGGTGAACCGGCCAATCGCAGAGGGGCCAATCACAGACCATCCAATCACAGGGTAGGACACAGTTTGAACAGGGCTTTAGTGGGGAGTAGCTGGTCTTAGACGTGTAGAACTTACGGGATGGAGAGAACTCTGAGATTGGCCTGAACTGTTTTTAAAGGTCCCATATTCTGCTAAACTCAAACCGGCCTGTTTACCCTTCAAGACCTAAAGCGATTTTACTACATTTGTCCTTCATTTTGCTTTTAAAACTCCCCCTTTTACCCCCTAATGAGGAGTTATACATCCTTTTTTTTTTCAGTACAACCTGTTATTTCACAATCTGCTCCTGTAGATGTAATAAAAGCTACAGGTCCAGAAATACACATGAAAAAAACTGAAAATGAAATTCTCACTTTCATATGAAACACAATGCAAACATTTATAAACAACTTTTTGGACATAAAAATGCTTAATTTAGGGTCATAGCTACAAAAGTGCAAAATATCAAATCTGTAAATAAACTAAAAATCATCTTATTGCCTCAAAATAAAATAAAAGAATGCAGTGGCCCCATGACTTGACTGGTGCAGATCATGGAAACAGCTGGTGCCACATCACTTCCTGCATTTCCATGGGGTTTATTATATTTGGATTTGGATATTTGGACTGGAATAAACCTGAAAATAAAAATAGCAAGAGATGCACAATTACGCCAGTCTGAGTCATCAGTCAGTTTCACTTGGTAGAAACCGTGTGACCTCGCAGCATTAGGATTCGTTCGCTCGACAGTAGGCGGGTACTTTTTTATTTAAATTTAACCAATCGCTGCTGTTTAGTCGTGACGTATGTAATGCTCCAAGTCCTGTAGAAAGAAGGACAATGATGTCTTTCCCCTTAATAAAATTCACCAAACATTCTCTTTGTTCCGGCTTTAAATCCTTGATCTCGGGAATCGTTAATAACACAGAATGTTTGGCTCTTCACTGATTGGCTGGTGCTCGAACTCGCACTTCCAGGGTTCTTCAAACCGTCTAGTGTATTCTGATTCCTGATCTAGTCGCTGGAGAGAAATTAAATTGAGCGGAGGCACTAGGTGGCCCCAGCCTGGCTACAATTGCACAGACCAAGATGCATAATTTGCCATTTATTTGAGAAATATCTGCACTTAAGCGACTTTTTCAATTGTTACAAACACAGACGCTCAGAGCACTACACTTTTTGACGAAGTTTGGGCCAATAAAAATGGACTGAGCGCAGTGTTTGGCGGAAAACAAAGTTCCTACTGGACATTTGTTTTCTTGCGTGTGATGTAGGATAATGACGGAAATCTGCTCGGAAAGCTGCAACTGTCAGCTTTTGAAGGAAAAGTATGTTTCTGTCTTTTATGCTTGGAAAGTTTTGCATGGTTATATAAAACATACTCCCAGGTATCAGATATGGTACCGTCGGTTTGGAAAGGTTAAAGGCTCCGTACCTGATTTTTAACATCTTTTAAAAACCTGAAAAAGGCAAGTTTATTTTTATAGCACAATTCATACACAAAGTAATTCATATTGCTTTACAGATTAACAAAGACTTCATAAGAAATCACACAAATACAACTTTATCAAAACATAACCGTCATAACCTGGATTTAAACCTAGTCAAAGTAAAAAAAAACAAAAAAACATAACTACTAGGGATGTAACAATAACTGAAATATCGTGATATTGTATCGTCAAAATCTTTATCGTGGGGCATCACAATAAATCGAATTACAAGTTCCTTTGCTTAAATTCATGGTTTTATAGTAGTAACAGCTTATAAACACCGGGAACTACATTTCCCATGATTCATTTCAGCGCAAACAACATGCAGAAATATGTTTCTGACTTGAAATCTTGGGATTATGATAGAAATAATTCACACCAAATTCTTGTCAGGGTATTTTAAAAGCAAAAAAAGAGTCCTATCTACAATTATATCAGCCTCTCCAAAATATCGCAACAAATATCGTACTGTGAGATGCATATCGTGATATCGTACCGAGAGATTTGGATATCGTTACATCTTTAACAACTACAGATCCAGACTTATACTTCTCTTTCCTAAGACAGTCCAAACGTCCCCATTATTCACCACAATTAATTCATGAGCCGGTTACACAACTGTTAAAGGCGAGATCTGAGTTTTATCCTCACATCACTGCAAACAACTAGCATGCTAACCGTGCACCAGTTCTTGGCCAATAAAAACGCTTTATAATTGGACGGCGACGACACACAGTGGTTTTATTTTGACTGAGGCAAAACAAATTGGACTAAATTGTGTGGGAAAATCAGGTACATTTTTATTATTTTTTTTAACTAAACTTTAATACGGTTTCCTCGTCAAAACCACCTGACTTTGTTTCATTAGTGCTTGTTTGATTAATCCACCTTCTTTAGTCTGCTCCCCTTTAAAGCCCCATAACCAAAGTCATTCCCATCAGTTTAATTCAATCAGATGTTTAAGTTGCACTGTGTAGCTTTTCTGTGGAGGGTTCATCATGTTCAGAAACGTTACACAATGCACCTTTTTAACTTTGAACAGTAACAGTTCAAACACATCCCATCCTCACATCTCCATTTACATCACTGACTAAAAGTCCACTAAAAACCCTCTCTCTGTGTGCATAATATTGGACCTTTATAGACCTTGAAAAATAAGTGATAAAAATAAAAACAGTGCCTGATGTTCCATGATGTAAATGATGTGTCAATGTTTTTCTTCATGTATTAACCTGGTTGGCAGATCCGTCCTGAGAGGAGACACTGACCCAGACCTGCTGTGTGTGACTGTGTGACTGTGACTGTGTGTGTGTGACTGTGTGTGTGTGACTGTGTGTGTGTGAGACTGTGTGTGTGTGACTGTGTGTGTGTGACTGTGTGTGTGACTGTGTGTGTGTGAGACTGTGTGTGTGTGTGAGACTGTGTGTGTGTGACTGTGTGTGTGACTGTGTGTGTGTGTGTGAGACTGTGTGTGTGTGACTGTGTGTGTGTGTGTGACTGTGTGTGTGTGTGTGTGTGTGTGACTGTGTGTGTGTGTGTGACTGTGTGTGTGTGTGACTGTGTGTGTGTGACTGTGTGTGTGTGTACTGTGTGTGTGTGTGACTGTGTGTGTGTGTGACTGTGTGTGTGTGTGAGACTGTGTGTGTGAGACTGTGTGTGTGTGAGACTGTGTGTGTGTGAGACTGTGTGTGTGAGTGTGTGTGACTGTGTGTGTGTGACTGTGTGCGTGTGAGTGTGCAACTGTATAACTTCAGTGCGTGACTGTGTGACTGTGTGGGACTTTGCGACTGAGTGTGTGACTGTGCGACTGACTGTGCCTGTGTGAGTGTATGAGTGTGCGACTGTGAGTGTGCGACTGAGTGTATGAGTGACTGTGTGACTGTGTGATGACTGTGCGACTGAGTGTGACTGATGATGAGTGTGACTGTGTGCGACTGTGTGAGTGTAAGAGTGTGACTGTGCGACTGAGTGTGCGAAATGCGTGAGTGTATGATTGTAAACGTGTGACTGTGTGAGAGTGCGCGACTGTGTGACTGGTCAGAGAGGCCCTCGGCACAGAGCGGCAGCCACTGTCAGCCTGCCCCAGGGCCACCACAGTGTTACTGAGAGGGAAGCGAGAGCGCCTCTAAAGTTGCACTGTGTAACTTTTTGGTTGGGGTCCATCACCTGCTTGTTTCTGTGAACATTGCTCTGCCTGGAATGTTCCACAGTGTGACATTAAACAGCTCTACTTTACATTTATTCAATTACTTAGAAAAAGAGAAAAGACATTCTGACTCTGACCTGGAACTCGTTTGTTCTGGTTTGGTGTCCCTGAAAATAGAAACAATTAATACCATACTATGGAACATTCCAGACAAAGTAATAATGTCTCCATAGAGAAATCATTTGACGCCCTCTCCATCAGAAAAGTTACACAGTGCACCTTTTAATTCAAATGCTTTAAGGCTCATCCTCATCCTAAAGCTTCAGCCTTTAGTGTGTGACACGTGTGAATGTAAACACAGCCCCAGTCTGTTTATGATCAGGAAACTGTTTCACACGCACAAGATGTTTCAGCTCCAGAATATCCAGAAGCCATTTTCAGTTTGATGGTTCTGATGGTTTTGCCGTAAACGAGGGCAGGCCAGTTTCGCTCTAAAACCCCTCCTCCCCTCGGCTGGACTTAGTTACTCAGAGGAGGAGAAACCCTAGTGCCTCAGGCCAGTTCCACGGAGTGAAAATGGCTTCAGGATGGGAGCTGAGATGTCTCGATTACAAAACCAGATGTGTCCAGATGAGCGCAGTTGAAAGCTTAACTCTGTGATGATGCGTCCGCCGTCTCGTGCTGTAGTTTGGACTAAGGGCTGCTGTTGTTTCAGCTGAAGGCGGTACACGAGCAGCTGGCCGTACTCTCACAGGCGCCCGTCTCCAAACCAAAGAAGAAGAAAGAGAAGAAGGACAAGGAGAAGAAGAAAGACAAAGGGAACAAGGCCAAACTAGAGGAGGAGAAGAAGAAACCTGTGGCAGCCGCTCAGCCCAAACCGCCCAATCAGAAGAAAGCTCCAGCCCGGAAGGCCAACAGCACAGTCACCGCCACAAGGTACGGCCTGAGCCAAAGGTCAGAGGTCGAAGTGTAATGTTAAGAATTTATTGATTACTTTATCAGTGTGTAAATAAAGTTCCAAAATCATTATTCATATTATTCAGATATTCACACTGGATTAGCTTTACCAGGTCCTGACTTTTACCTGCTGTATTTCTGTAAACTCTGAGCTCGTCGGGTTCACGGGTTCATTCTGGTCCCGTGTGAACTGTCTGTAATTTAGTCTCTGTTTCGCATTGGAGCTGATGGTGATTCAAAATGTCTTTATGGCCCATTATAGCTCCACATATGAACTAAATTAATTCTCCACGGACCGTAGTCTAATCCTTTTGTTGTTCTTTGTACCATTAAAAAGTAGAAAAACATCAAACAGACGACAGGAAAGATGTGGCCTGGATGAATAATCCTGTTGTTGTCGGTTTGGAGCCTCTTTGGGAAAGTTCAGGAGCTTTTGGTACAAAGTTTGTAAAGTTTAGTTAAATGCACAAAAAGCAAATGGGGGTAATTTCAAGTTTAAAGAGTCTTAGACCTATTTGCAGTATAAGTACAACTTGGGGACGTCTGGTAATTTGCAGATTACTGCCTCACTAGGGTTGGGCACTATCCAAATTTTGATACAGTTAAACGTTCTCAAGATTTTACCAGGGTATACAGTGTTACTGTTTTACCAAAATGTTTTAGTACGACTTTGGTAAACTACAAAACTGCATCGCTGTACAGTCTGTGTGTACGACCTGCAGATTTATAATCTCTGAAAAGTTTCACATGAACCATCTCCAACACGACACACACACAGAACAGACTCACCATCAGCAGAACACCCTCTGTCACAGAGAGAACACTCATATTCCACTGAGTCGGGTCCTTTAATCCGACAGAAGCTGAACCACATCAACGACACAAAGAGCTGTTTTTATCAGTGCTTTAAAGTTTATGCAAATGAGTCATGTGGTTTTAAGTTTAGTTTCTGTAAAACGTAAAGAAATGTGACCTGAAGCCAAATCCTAGTATTTTTTTTTTTTATTTTTTTTGGGACCATCTCTCTTGTGGTCGGACTTGCCTCCTTGTCTTGGTCTCTTATAAGCGTCACGTGACAACGGAACGAAACTAATCAGTTAAAAGAAACATTATAGACACACGAGTTTTAAACCATGGCAGAATTAAACTGAAAATACAACCACATATTCATTTGTGCTCAACAAATTTAGATATCAATACATTATAATATTGTATTAGGTCTTTAAGCACTGCAGATTTTTTAATGACGGTAATGAAACTGATGCTGTTACTACTTTTTGATACTGCGGGAAACTGGGATACTGTATTACCACCCAACCCTATGCCCCACCTCTGTGTTACTCGCAGCGCATTTGTACGGGATCAGTGAAGTCCATAAATTACTCTATTTTACTGACATTGACAAAGATTGAAAGAGAAAAGAACGTGAAAACAAAGAGATAGAAAAGGTGCGCAGTTACAACAACAAACACTGAACGGGACTACAGTAGTATTAGACCCGGACGTATGTGTTTGGTGAAATATAGTAGGTAATTTGTGGCAGAATTTTTACTTTACAAATTATAGACAGAGCGCATTCAGACGGGATTAAGACCTCAGGCTCCTCCACAGTTATTACAAATCACCAAAGGTCCACAGGTCAAACTAATTCAATTCGAATAGAGACGTGAAGTGGAACTGTTCCGATCTGAAGTTGAAGATTTTGCAGTGAAAGTCATATGGAGCTTGTGTTTTTCAAATGGAATCAAACCTGTTTTAACCCGTTTATCCTGTTCCCGCAGACAACCCAAAAAGGGCGGGAAATCCGGCTCAGCGAACGGCGAGGAGGGGGAGGAGTCTTCTCTGCCCATGACGTACGACGAGAAGCGACAGCTGAGTCTGGACATAAACCGTTTACCCGGAGAGAAGCTGGGCCGCGTGGTGCACATCATTCAGTCCAGAGAGCCCTCCCTGCGAGACTCCAACCCCGACGAGATCGAGATCGACTTCGAAACGCTCAAACCCTCCACGCTGCGAGAGCTCGAGAGATACGTCAAGTCCTGCCTCCAGAAGAAGCAGAGGAAACTCATGCGTGAGTACTGACACACAGCGGCCGACAGGGGGCAGCACTGGGCTCACCGGGTTGGGCTGTAGACGAGGGTGGTCCATCGAAACACGGTCAAAAATAAAGTTTCAGATCACCTCGATTAGGCAAGGCAAGTTTATTTGTAGAGCACAGTTCATACACAAAGTAATTCAAAGTGTTTTACAGAATAAGAAATACTTTAAAATCACAATAAAAACAAATCAAAACATAAATAATCCTCATAAAATTAAATATTAAAATTAAAAAGAGACAGAGAGAGACATTAATTACATAAATTAGACTACGTTCAGACTGCAGCCTGAAGTGACCCAAATCCGATTTTTTTTTTTTTTTTTTTTTGGCCCCTATGTGACCTGTATCTGATCTTTTAATGACAGTCTGAATGACACAGATCTGATTTTTTCAAATGTGACCCAGGACACTTGCGACACACAAACAGCCGGTCAGTCTGCAATACGCCGAAGTGCAAATGTGTATTTAACGACGACTTGTACAAGAAATTTCACGCTTTCCGTTCGGGACAAGTGTGAGTCCATGTGCACAGTGTACAAAGCAGCACATATGTTTCAGTGTCCAGTGAGAAAAAAGTTTTACCAGGTGAGAGTCGTGCAATGTCGTCATCGACAAGCCGCTGCAAATGAGTCATGCTTTTTTAAGTTTTGTTTCTGTGAGAGTTGCACAAATCTGCATTAAACACATTATAATGTCAAACAGCTGATGTGGCTCTAGAGTCGTTACGGTTTATTTGTCGTAAAGTTGAATTTATTTATGCAGATTAGTGCAGATAGTAATAATAATGATGATAATTTTAATATAAAAACGTTAATGATTAATCGATAATCGATCGTTAATTCTTCCGACGATCGATTTAAAGAAAATTTCATCGAATGCCCATTCTTAGTTTGTACTAAAATAAACAAAAAGCACTAGGAACAGTAGACGAGGCTTTTAAAACACTGAAGACACAGTTTAGTGGCAAAAAAAAGATCAGGGAAGTTTCTTGGGTGTGTCCTGGTCGGGCGCAGGTCACACAAAGAGGAAATGGACAAAAATATAATTCACTTAAACCGCTCTAATATAATCTATCTAATCTATATAATCTTACTGTCCCTATAATTTTTGCTTTTAAAGATGCACTGTGTTACATTTCTTGTAGAGGATCCACCACAGACTTGTTTCCATGGAGATGTTATTGCTTTTCCTGAAAGGTTTCAAAGTTCGGCATTAAACTCACCTATGTTGCATTTATACATTTACAATTTAAAAGCTCTCATTCCTACAGTGAGTGAGCTCGCCTCTCCACAGATCTGACCTGTAACTTGACCTGGGGGCACTGTGGGCTTGTCTCCGTGGTAACAGGTGAGCTTAATGCCGTACAGCGGGGCATTCTAGACAAAGCAATATCATTTCAGTGCACCTTTAAAGCAGAACTAGACAGAGGTGTGAACGATATCCAAGTGTCACGATACGATATTTTCATGATATACATCTCACGGTTCGATATTTATTACGATATTTTGTGGAGACTAAACATCTAAAACTGTGAATGACTTTTTCCTCTTAAAATGCCTTGACAAGACTGAATCCAAAGAGTTAAAAGTGTTAGAACTGTTATTTCTTCTTGTCGTCTGCACTGAAATGGAGCAAAGGATCATGGTCTATGTAGTTCCTTGGTTTGTTTTTTTTATCTGTTGCTGCACCAAAACTCTTCAGACTTGTAATTCGATATATTGTGATGGTCCACGATATTATTGTGCGGACTTTGACGATACGGTATCACCATATTTCGGTTTATTGTTACTTCCCTAGAACTAGACACTAAATCCACGTTTTTTCTGCTAAACTTTTAATTGCTTTATCTCTTGCTCCTGGGCTTTGTTTGGCAACTCACTGGAACAATAACACTGTTTGCCCCTCCTCCTCCTTCTCGCTCTTCTGTCTAGTCCTTCAGGTGATTTCCAGTTTAGCAGCTTTATTTGAAATGTGGTTGTGGGCGGAGTTTAGGAGTTTAGTCCCACTGTAAAGACTTTTTGCTCGAGCTGAAGCTGTCGGGCTTCAGATTTGGTCGTGTTGTCGAGATGATAAATTATAAATTGTTGATGTTTACTTCCTCGAGAGCTGTGGGCCTCAGACTTTTTAGCTCCACGGACCGGTTTAATGTGCAATGGCGAAGCGGCCTAGTTTAGGCCTGCTTTAGTTCTGGTTTTAGTCCTACTTTAGACCTGCTTTTAGTTCTGGTTTAGTCCATCTTTAGTCCTAATTTAGTTCTGGTTTTATTCCTGCTTTAGTCCTAGTTTAGACCTGCTTTTAGTTCTGGTTTAGTCCGGCTTTAGTCCTAGTTTAGACCTGGTTTTAGTCCTGCTTTAGGCCTAGTTTAGACCTGGTTTTAGTCCTGCTTTAGTCCTAGTTTAGACCTGGTTTTAGTTCTGGTTTTAGTCCTGCTTTAGTCCTAGTTTAGACCTGGTTTTAGTTCTGGTTTTAGTCCTGCTTTAGTCCTAGTTTAGACCTGGTTTTAGTCCTGCTTTAGTCCTAGTTTAGACCTGGTTTTAGTTCTGGTTTTAGTCCTGCTTTAGTCCTAGTTTAGACCTGGTTTTAGTTCTGGTTTTAGTCCTGCTTTAGTCCTAGTTTAGACCTGGTTATAGTTCTGGTTTTAGTCCTGCTTTAGTCCTACTTTAGACCTGGTTTTAGTCCTGCTTTAGTCCTAGTTTAGACCTGGTTATAGTTCTGGTTTTAGTCCTGCTTTAGTCCTACTTTAGACCTGTTTTTTGTTCTGGTTTTAGTCTTGGTTTTAGTCCTGCTTTAGTCCTAGTGTAGACCTGGTTTTAGTCCTGGTTTTAGTCCTGGTTTTAGTCTAAAAATAGACTTTCCTTGAAATAAAACAAGAAATATTATTATTTACCTCCTGAAGTAACTACAGAACAGCTTTGAATATTAAACCCTCAAACATTCTGAAACTTTCTGGACAAACTACGAGCAGTAAAAAGTTTTATTCCATTAATTCAAAGTTTGAGATGTAACAAAATATCCTGATGTTTTATCGTCAAAAGTCTCAATAATATGGAGGAACATCACATTCTATCGGTGCGTCCCTGATCTCCGCTCGTGTGACCCGGTCTAACCTTGTGTCTTTGTGTTTTTTTCAGAGAAAGCAGCTGGGGGCGGGGCCTCGGGCGCAGGGGGCGGGGCCAGTAGGTTGAGTGGCAGCTCGTCCTCCTCCTCTGACGACAGCTCATCCACGGGGAGCTCCTCCTCCTCCGACACAGACTGAACAGACTCTGTACATACGCCCCGTTTTTAGAATAGTGTTCTCTCCCACCTCGGACTCAGACCCCCGAACGCACCACATTCCACCGACGACAGCCGGCGCCGCCAAACCCGAACCCCCGCGAACGCTCCCGAACGCAGCGGGAGCCCCACGCACGCCATGGACCGCACGCCATGGACCGCACCGTGGAAATACGGAGAAAACTGGATTCTATCTGCCAAATCATGGAGTGTATCAGAAAACCAATCGAAACCAGGTCTGGACCGGGTCAGGACTAGATCTAAACCGGGTCTGGGCCGGGTCAGGACTAGATCTAAACCGGGTCTGGGCCGGGTCAGGACTAGATCTAAACCAGGTCTGGGCCGGGTCAGGACTAGATCTGGACCAAGTCTGGACCAAGTCAGGACTAGATCTAAACCAGGTCTGGACCAGGGCTGAGCGATTCAACCACTCTTTTTTAAAAATCTAATATTTTATATTTTGACCCATTTTACTTGAATCTAAAGCGACAAACTGTTTATGACGAATTTTTACTACGACTTCACAAATTTAAAACAAAAAAATTTAAATCACTTTTTTGTGTGTATAAATGAAGCCACAACACACACGGCTGAATACTGAAACATGATCCTTGTGTTTCAGTTTCCACATTATTATTATCATCGTAACATTACCGCTTTTATTTTGTTTTCGCCTTTGTTTCCATGGCGACACCTCGGTTTGTCCTGATTTCTGATTCGCTCAGCCCTCCACAGTCCGGCCAATAGGAAACAAGAACTGAGTCTTGCTTTTCAGGCTGTGATTGGTTCAATATTTGGGGTTTGGAAGATCGTTTTTGTTTTTTTTCATCAGATTTTGAAGGTTAAATGTAGTTGAATTTCTCACATTGAATTTTCTGAAAAAACATGTTTGAATTGTTTTTAAAATTCAAAATGAAGGATTCACACTTTAAATATTCAACACAAATGTTTTCGGGCGCTTAAATTCAGTTCAGATTTTTCACTGTGAATTTTAACGGTTTGAAAAATGTAAAACGTAAATTGTATAAACTTAAATAATAGAAATTTAGAATAAAAACGGTTCAGATGTTTTTTCAGAGTTAAAAAATTCAGTGTAAATAATGCAGCTTCATTTGAAATTCTAAATCTGGTGAAAAACGAGATGATCCATTTTTTTGGGGGCTCTTTCTGACAAACTCAAACCGTAAACAGACTAAAGACGAACCACAACATCTCAACTCACGTCTGCGATCGCTTCGACAAACGCTCGAGTCATTTCAAGACGTTTAGGACGGGAAAAAATCATTCTTAAAGATCGAATTTTACGCGAAACCGACTTTTTGGAGCTTGTTTTAATCAGAATTCCGCCTGAAGTGGGTTCCTGAATCTTCGGTGCATGTTTAAGTCATCTTGCGATCTCTCCCGGGCGATAATCGAACCCTCCGGTGTACGAGACCACGCCTCTTGTACAAAGCTCCGCCCACAAGCCTAAACCGAAACTGAAACTAAACTTTTTAATACAACAGAATTTTCAAGCCAATAAAAGTTGACATGGTGATTCAGTTAATACCAGGTAAAAGTGTAATACCGTCGCTTTTTAAAATTTTTGAATCGAGAATTTGACTTTTAACTCCTCAAAAAGTTTTCAAAAAAGCTTATGAAGTTTTCCAAATTTCCCATAACCGACTAGAATACATTTTTGGTGCTGTTTTAGACCAGGAATATGCCTCGACATCGTCTTTTCGAAAACCAGATTTTTTTTTTTTTTGAGATGTGGTGGTTCCGTCTGAGCTCGGGTCTCTCTGGGCGGGGGTCAAGAGGTCGTCCCTTTTCAATCGTCTGTAAACTGAAAACGAAAACAAAAAAAGTGTTTTTTCTTTTGTAAACTACACTACATGAGTTCTCTGCTGTGTGCTGTGTGTCCTCGTGCCGCTGTCTAAATGTCCCCTTCACATTTTCCTCCAAACTCCTCCCCCACTGTGGCAACGTTTACGAGATCGAAAAGTCCAAACGAAACCAGCGTCTTCAACTTTTACCCTTTTTTTTTTTTTTTTTTTTTTCACCCAAAGCGACAAAACGAACTCCTAAAGGACCCGTGTTGTGTTGTTTCCTCGTCGCAAACACACCTGGAGTTACTTTTTAATCATTTGTTTTTCAATATAAAACCAAAAAAAGAAAATGAAGAAACGATTTTCTTCATTGTTTGTCTTCAAAACCAGAATGAAAAAACATAAAGATTTGTTTTTTCAGTTTTCGATTTTGTGTTTAAATGAAAAATGGAAAACACGGATAACGAACTAGACCAGGACTAGACCAGGACTAGACCAGGACTAGACCAGGACTAGACCAGGACTGAACTAGGATTGAACTGGGATTAAACCAGGACTAAACCAGGGATCGAACCGGGGACTGAACCATGATTAAATCAGGACTAAATCGTTTTCAGTCCTGGCCTCAGTCCTGGTCTGGTCCCGGTCTCAGTCCTGGTTTTGGTCCCAGACTCAGTCCTGGTTCTGGTCCCGGGCTGGTCCTAGACTCAGTCCCAGTCTGGTTCAGTCCGTATGCGGCGCAAAAGTCCGGCGTCGCAGTTTAAGTCACGTAAACGGGAAACGGTCGTTATCCGTTTTTTTTTTCCATTTTTCATTTAAACACAAAATCGAAAACTGAAAAAAACAAATCTCTGTCTGCTTTTTTCATTTTGGTTTTGGAGACAAATAATGAAGAAAATCGTTGTTTTTATGTTATTTTTGGTTTTATTTTGAAAAACGAATGAATGAATGACACACGGATTATTTTGTTTCATTCACACGTGTCACACACAAATCCTGCACATTTAGTTTTTAGGCTTTAGTTTTTCCTCTTAAACTGAAAAAACTTTGCTTTAATTTGTGCTCCATTGTGTTTTTAAACTCCACACACCTTCACTAGAATCATTTGGATCATTTCAGACGTGGAATTGCCAATTTCTACTGAACAATTTCACGGCATTTAGGATAAAAACAATCGTTCTTAAAGACGGGATTTTACACGAAACCGATTTTAATTTTTTTTATTTTTTGGAGCTTATTATTGTGATATAATGTTACTCCTGAATCAAAATCGACATCACGAGGTGGAATAGAACGTTTTGAGCTTCGCAGATGTAAACAAACTAATAATAATAATAAAAAGTTACTCAAACACGTGTGAGTGAAACAAAACAAAACTCCAGCTCTGTTTTTGATGAGGAAACGACGTTAGAACGCGACTTAAACCTCAGAGTCCGTTTTGCGTCGTGTAGAACTTAAACAGTTTCACATTCTGGAGAAATTGCTAGAATTTTTTAGTTTTTTTTGTCGTTTTTTTTCTTGAATAAGCTTGTGCGTCGCGGTTTCGGTGACGTGGAGACGCGGGCGGCAGTGGCTTTCGTCGTAGGCCGCTGCCGAAAAAAATGGAAGGTGGACGAATGAGTTTTGATAACGTGAGACTTGTTTATATATTAATGGCCTTTTTTTTTTTTTTTTTTTTTTTTTTTTGAAGAACTTTAATTTTTTTAGAATTTTAAACGAAATTTTTATCTTTAATCATGTTTTTACATTATTTATATCTCAAAGCTGTAATAAGTCGGGTTTGAGGGGGGAAAGTCTGTTTTTTTCCCCTTTTTATTTAGTCGAATTGTCATCGTTTGTTTTTGCGAGTCTTGCTTATTATAGCTTTACGTTTTTATATTTGAAGACATTTTCGCGATCATGAACTTTTCCGACGCCTAATTTTTTCTTGACTCTAGTTTGAGAATAATGAAGACGTTTTGTACTTAATGTTGTTGCGGAATCGGAATTTGCTCCTCTTTTCAGTTTCATCCTTTTGCGTAATTTTATATAAAGGGCTTTCTGATTTTGCGCTGGAATTTCAGTTTGATTTTAAGCAGGATTCACCCCGAAACTGTCAAAATGCAAATGTTTGACTTGTTTTTTTTGGTTCGTATGTCTGTAATTACTTGGCCTATCCACATAAAACACAAACTGGTGTGAAGTTACATCTCGAAAAACGAAAAATCAAACGTTTTCCACTGTAGTTTCATGAATTCTAATGGTCTTTTTATGGCAAGTTTATGGGCTCAATCCTTTAAAAAAAAATTATCTATATGTAATACAGTGTGCGTTTTCTGTTTCTGAAATTTCCACGGTGAATTCTAGAGTGTAAAATCCACCCACATTGGCCCCGAAACGGTCGGCTTCGTGGTTGTAATCCTCAAAACAGTGACGCTGGTTTCTTGCGGACGCTTTGGGTTTTAAAAAATCGGTTTCTTTCAGATCGACAGATGAGCAGCGCGTCACGGTTTCCTCCTTTTTTTTTTTTTATTTTTTTAGTTGAGGTCGATGCATAATAATAGATAATAATAATGTTTTTTGTATTTTAATAAGAAAAATGAAAAAAGTGAGTTTATGTACTGCATGCACTGCGCCCGTCTGTTCTTTCCGATGTTTGAGCACTGTATAGTAGCTGTAAGTAGAGACACAAATGGGCTCAGAGCTACGCCACGTCCACCGAGAATTCTACAAACAAACGCGAACATTTGCCGGGGACGGTACGAGATCTCGAGAGACGGAAATCTGCGGTTTTCAGATTCTAAAATGAACGCTAAAATACAGATCTGTGTCGTAATACGGCGAGTTTTTGGGTTTAGTTGATAAGAGAAAGAATCAGGATCGACATTTGTGCGTTTTACCTTTTGGAGATTTCATGGTAATGTGATTAATTTGTAGTTTTCAGATTCAAGAATGTCAGTTTTTTCAATTTTTGGGTTTCAGGTGACGGCACAACTTTCTAAAGGTCAATAATCTTTAAAACAAACGGGAGGGAGGCTAAATTTAATCTTGATCAACGACAGATTTTTGGAGTAAAACGAGCACGGTCTTGGTCATGAACTTTAGAATTTGGTCTTCAAATGTTCGTATTAACCCGCTCTACGTGAACCTGGTGGTTTTTATCCTGCTATTTTCTTCGTTCTGCTCCATTCTCCTGTAAGCGTTGGCGTCGATGAGCTTCGTTTGACTGGAGTCGAACACTGCGGGCGACGTCACACTCGCTTAGTCCGTTTCTTTATTCAGTTTGTGGTTTAGTCAAAAATGGAAATGATCAGGTTCAACATTTGGAAATTACCGTTTTAAATTTTCACGGCCACATCAGGAATCTAAATACACTAGACGGTTCGCAAAAACCCCGGAAGTGCGAGTTCGGGCACCAGCCAATCAGAGAAGAGACAGACATTCTGTGTTTGCGACGATTCCCCAGATCGAGGATTTAAAGCCGGAACAAAGAGAATGTTTGGTGAATTTTATCAAAGGGAAAGACGTTATTGTTCTTCTTCCTACGGGATTTGGTGCATTACATACGTCACGACCAAACAGCAGCGATTGGTTAAATAAAAAAAGTACCTGCCTACTGTCAAGCGAACGAATCCTAATGCTGCGAAGTCACACGGTTTCTACAAAGTGAAACCACCTTATGAATCAGGCTAAGAGAAAAAATAGTAAAAATCCCAAAGTAAACGCACAAATGTTGAACTTGATCCTTTGTATTATTGACTAGACCCAAGAACTCACCGTATTACAACAAAAGTCTGTATTTTAACTTAATTTATTTTAGTGAACCCTCGTCTGGATTGTACATGATCGTAGAATGTTGTGACGTCACCTGAAAACTACAAATTAAAGCAAGAAAAACGACCTCGTAAGATGTTTTAGTCGGTGTTTACGTTTGGACTGGACAGTGAGTTTCATCTTTTATAGTTCCAAAAAGCAGCGCTAGAATGGAAACAAAAATATAAAATCAGATAAAAAATTTGGAAACCGAATCGCAAAATGTACATGTTAGGAATGAAGTTCAAATCTCGCCATCTCGTATCTTCTCGAAAAGATCTCGTCCCGTCCCCAAGGCTGAACCAGAAACTGATTTTGGTTTAGATTTGGGGATGTCACAATCTGAAATTTTAGTCTTTTACGATTATGAAATGGGTTCGATTTTTAAAGCTGGATTGCGTAACTTTTCTGGTTAAACGCTTGTGTTTGTGGAGATGTTGTCATCATTGTTTTTGTCTGAAATGTTTCACAGTATGGCTTTAAACCTTTCTGTCCTCACGGAAACCAGATCTGACCAGAAGAAAGCAGAAGTTCTGGGTCAGATCTGTGGAGAGTCTGTTTTTTCGAGGTATTTTTGAGCTATAAAACCACCTGTAATTGAATAAATGTACATTTTAAAGTCACACTGTGGAACATTCCAGGCAGAGAAGTGACGTATCCATAGAAACAAGTAAGTTGACGGACGCCCAACCAAAAAAGTTTCGCAGTGCAGCTTTAATTCTAGATCTATATCACTTCATGAGCTTTATTTAAACGAACTTTCGCCGAGAACGTTTCAGTTTTTCTTTGACGATGGCGCGAAACGTAAAAAAAAAAAAAAGTCTGTTGATTAAATGTAAAAATGCAGAGTTTTTTGTGACATCCCCGTTTCAGATCCACACTCACGTCGACTCTGAGGGGAGCGGGTTTTAGGGTTTATGGGAGGTGTAAATGGAGTGGGCGTGGCCAGGTGGAGTGGGCGTGGCCAGAGCTGCAAACTCTGATAGATCGATGTAAAATTACTGATGGATTATTTTCTGAGTTCCTTTGTTTTCATAAATAAACTCATAAACAAGAGAAAAACACGAGCCGAGGGTTTGTTTTGTGTGTTTGAATGTACACGCACACACACAAACACACGTAACTGAAACGTTCACATGTACAAACACACATGCACAACTGAAACTACATGTACAAACAACTGAAACGTCCAAATGTACACACACACAACTGAAACGTTTACGTGTGTCTGTGTTTGTACATGTAGAGGTGAAACGTCTAAATGTTCACAGAAGAGACACAAATCCATTTAAAGAGTTTATTTCCCTTTAACACTGCTGTTGGTGTAAACATGAGTGAGCTTCAAAGTCACAAATAAATAAAACTGTAAAATAAAAACATGATAATAACAGAATCAACACTGTTCAGAGTCGTTTAACACTGACACCGCAGGAGGCTAGAGGTTCAAACCCGTCAGTCTAAACCAGTGCTTCTCAATTATTTTCTGTCATGCCCCCCCCTAGGACGAATAAAACATCTCGCGCCCCCCCCCGCGTGACTATAGATAGTATCATTTGTCTATAAAATTGTTATAAGTGCACCTCTGCGTAACACTGCCACCTTATATGACGCCAACAACGCTCGCTGGTTTACTGAAGTAGCAGTCACAAGCGGGATGATTGTCGGCAATATTTGGCACGTTTTCGCTGAAAAATCTCAAGCGGCTTATCAGAGTGATTGGGGTGTAATGTATTTAAGTGACGCCTTAATTTATTGGGCTTCATGCTGTCGGCTGCCAACATTTTTAGACACAGTAACACACCGGTCTTTCCTCGTCTCCCACCGTAGTCACAGTGAAGCCAAGCGCTACATACGCTTCGTCATATTTCCTCGTCTTAGCTTTCGGGAGATTTTCGTTTGTCTCTTTATCTCCGTCTCTCTCCGTCTGTCTTCTCATCCCTGTTAAATATGTTTTCATGGTGTCACTTGAGGGTCTGCTACACTTCGTGTCTACACTTCATACTCAAACTCTGTGCTGTGTGCAAAGCGCGCATGCTCAGTGCAAACAAAACTCCTACACCACCGAGCGAATGCTCCCTGCGCACACTCTGCCAATGAGAGCGCCACTGCCCCCTAATGTAGTGGAAGTGCAATTGCACTTTATTCTAAAGGCCCGTTCAGACCAAAGCGTCAAAGCGTCCACTTTCTATGTAAAGTCTATGTGGACGCGCGTCCTGCGTTTTTGCGGCGCGTTTTCGGCGTCAGCGCGGCGCGAATCTGGCGTCAGCGCAGCGCGTCTTCAGCGTTTTGGCGTCAGCGGCCAAGACGCGCGTCCAAAGCGTCAGCGTCAAGAAGTTGAAAATGCTGAACTTTTCGCGTCAGATGCGCCGCGTCAACCAATCAGAGACGAGTATCCAGAGACGCAGCGACGTTATTATCAGGAAGAAAAACGCGAGAACCAGAACGAGAACCACAAACATGAGCGGAGCATAAATATATACGCCACAATCACCGAGCCGATCGCGAGGACTACACCAGGACCGGACCAGGACCGGACCAGGACTAGACCGAGACTAGACCGACTAGACCGAGACTAACCGAGACTAGACCGAGACTAGACCGAGACTAAACAAGGACTAGACCGGGACTAGACCGTGATTAGACCGGGACCAGACCGGGACTAGACCGTGATTAGACCAGGACTAGACCGGTGATTAGACCAGGACTAGACCAGGACTAGACCGGGACTGATCCAGTGTCATTAGCGGAGTATAAATATATATACGCCCCAGTCGTCGACCCGATCTCCTCCGTTGATGTTTTATGTCATAAAAACACTCTCTCAGTCTGGTCTGACATTGTTTCGGGAAAAGACCGGGACCGGGCTTTTGTTTCCAGGGCAACGGACGCGCGTCAAGTATTTTTGTCCCGTTCGTCCATGGCGTCAAAGACGCGCGTCGGGGCGTCTAAACTCAAATGCAAAGGCTCCAAATAGAGACGTCAAGGCGTTTTTTGACGCTTTGGTGTGAACGGCCCTTAAGACAGTAAAAAAAATCTAAATAAAAAAATAAAAAAGCATGTTCCCCGAGGTCCCCCAGGGGGGGGCGCCCCCACTATTTGAGAAGCACTGGTCTAAACACACACAGAGGTCCTGACAGGTGCTGCTCCTGATCCATGGTCCAGGCTCAGATCTGGACCTTTGCTCCTGACAGGTTTGATGAGACTCTGAGGTGGGGCAGGTGCAGTCACTTTATTTTTTGCCTTTTTTTTTTTTTTTTTTACGACACATTATTGAAATTAAAATCAAATCCACGCTGCGTCTGTTTTTCTGAGGCACAGTGGAAATGTGCATCATCACGTCTGATTTAAACACACAGATAAAAGTGTGATGACCCCTGACCTTTTGTGACACTCGGGCCTCAGAGTTCAGAGTCTGGACTTGAGGAGGGACTGAGACTCTGAACATGTCCAAGAGCAAAAACGACCTGGAACTATCAACAAACTGTAAACTCCTCACACCAGAGTTGTGCTGTTAGAACAGTCAAATGAAACATGTCTGTCCTGTAGTTTAACTTTGAACAGACACAAAACATGTTTCACTAAATCTAAAAAAAAACCTTTGAAAAACCCTGTGTGTGTTTCTCCACTTCTACACTTGGTGGTGTTACTGCACGGAGCAGATCCTGGACTCGGTCTGGGGTCTCTGGAGCCGGTCCGGGACCAGGACGGGCTGGTTGCCGTGGTTACTGTACCAGGTGTGCTGCGAGCGGCTCAGGTACGAGTGAGGGGGCGTGGCCTGGAGCTGCTGCTGACTCCAGATCAGGAAGGACGTGTCCCGGTACCTCAGACCCACGAAGGCGTCGCTCAGGGCTTTAGCGGCCAGAGGGGGGCGCTGCGAGGAGGAGGAGGAGGGGGGGTCGCACGCGGGGGTCACCGAGGGGTCAGGGGTCACCGAGGGATCAGGGGTCGCCATGGGAACAGAGCCAGAGCCACGGCCGAGTCCAACATGATCCGACCTGGAGACAGACGCAGGTTCACTTTGTTACACACGATTTATGGACAAAAACAACAGATCAGAATCATTAATATTCTTAAATACAAATATAACTTCATGAGCTTCTTGTCTCTCATCCTCAAGACTTAGAGCTCCAAAGTCTGTGTGATCTCCTGACACAGTCGTTATCAGTGTTGGGAAGTTTACTTTTAAAACATATTCACCTACAGATTACAGATTACACACACCAAAATGTAGTTTGTAACAGAATCCATTAAATTACTTAAAGTGAGTAATGTAATCTGAATACTTTAGATTACTTGATTACTGACTTGAAAGACTAGGATATCGTAACATAAGATGATTTGTCTACTAAAAGAAAATAAAAAAGCCCAGTCTTTACTTAACCGTATTAAAAATATTATTGATAGAAGAGGAGACACATCCGTGCAGCATGGTTTAGTCCTGGTTTAGTCCTGGTTTAGTCCTGGTTTAGTCCTGGTTTTAGTCCTGGTTTTAGTCCTGGTTTTAGTTCTGGTTTTTAGTTCCTGGTTTTAGTTCTGGTTTTAGTTCTGGTTTAGTCCTGGTTTTAGTCCTGGTTTAGTCCTGGTTTTAGTTCTGGTTTTAGTTCTGGTTTAGTCCTGGTTTAGTTCTGGTTTAGTCCTGGTTTAGTCCTGGTTTTAGTTCTGGTTTTAGTTCTGGTTTTAGTCCTGGTTTAGTTCTGGTTTTAGACCTGGTTTAGTTCTGGTTTAGTCCTGGTTTTAGTCCTGGTTTTAGACCTGGTTTAGTCCTGGTTTTAGTCCTGGTTTAGTCCTGGTTTAGTTCTGGTTTTAGACCTGGTTTAGTTCTGGTTTAGTCCTGGTTTAGTCCTGGTTTTAGTTCTGGGTTTTAGTCCTGGTTTAGTCCTGGTTTTAGACCTGGTTTAGTTCTGGTTTTAGACCTGGTTTAGTCCTGGTTTTAGTTCTGGTTTTAGTCCTGGTTTAGTTCTGGTTTAGTCCTGGTTTTAGTTCTGGTTTTAGTTCTGGGTTTAGTCCTGGTTTAGACCTGGTTTAGTTCTGGTTTTAGTCCTGGTTTAGTTCTGGTTTTAGTCCTGGTTTAGTCCTGGTTTTAGTTCTGGTTTTAGTTCTGGTTTTAGTCCTGGTTTAGTCCTGGTTTTAGACCTGGTTTAGTCCTGGTTTTAGTGGTTTTAGTCTGGTTTTAGTTCTGGTTTTAGTCCTGGTTTTAGTCCTGGTTTTAGTCTGGTTTTAGTTCTGGTTTAGTCCTGGTTTAGTCCTGGTTTAGACCTGGTTTAGTTCTGGTTGTAGACCTGGTTTAGTCTGGTTTTTAGTTCTGGTTTTAGTCCTGGTTTAGTTCTGGTTTAGTCCTGGTTTTAGTTCTGGTTTAGTTCTGGTTGTTTAGTCCTGGTTTAGTCCTGGTTTAGTCCTGGTTTAGTCCTGGTTTAGTCCTGGTTTTAGTTCTGAGAGTAGGACATTATTTAAAGGCACACTGTGTAACTTTTCCAGTTGTGGATGCACCATCTGTTTGTCTCCATGAAATAGAATAATTGTTTTGCCTTGAAGATTCTACATAAAACTTATCTATACCAACACAGACGAGCCTCCCAGCCAAGTTACAGATCACATCTGTGGAGAGGCCGCCCCGCTATCAGTAACAGTACACGTTTTTACAAGAACTGTTTGCAATTAAAACGCCTGTTACTGAATAAACAACAGGACAGAGACGTTTCGCCGTGGAGTGAAACGTTCAAGGCAAAACATCATCATCATCTCTGACAACAAGACGGGATTATGAACCCGTGTGTCGTTCGTTCATTTGTTTTTCAAAATAAACACAAAAATAAGAAAACAAAACAACACAAAAAATTTAAAAACTATTATTTTCTTCATTATTTGTCTCCAAAACCAAAATGAAAAAACAGATAATGATTTGTTTTTTCAGTTTTCGATTTTGTGTTTAAATGAAAAATGGAAAAAACGAATAACGGACTAAACCAGAACTAAAACAGGTCTAAAACAGGACTAAACCAGAAGTAAACCAGGCCTGAACCAGGACTAAAACAGAACTGAAACAGGACTAAACCAGGACTAAAACTGGACTAAACTAGAACTAAACCAGGACTAAACCAGGACTAAACTAGGAACTAAACCAGGACTAAAACAGAAACTGACTGAACGATACGCGGATTCTTATAAACTGACATTTGTTTTGGTAAAATACAAAAAAAAAAAAAATCTGCTTAAAAATGACAAAAACACAAAGAAAATGTGACTAAACTGTTCGTCATAAATGGTTTCTGCACAACATTTTTCCTTAACCACACTCTCGTTTCACAATTTTATTATTACCAACCTCCAAAAAAAAACGAGGATGTCCCAGTTTTTTTTTTTGTTTTTTTTTTTAATATTCCCTGCTCCAGAAAAGTTACACAATGCATCTTTAAATAGGTGTGGGGAGAGTCTGCAGGAAAAGATGTTCACACTGTCTTTTTATTTCTCACAGTTTTAACACAATAAATCACAGGTGTCAAACATGCGGCCCGGGGGCCAGATCCGGCCCTCCAAGACCTTTAATCTGGCCCTCGGCTGATTTTCTACTAAAATATTGTAATAATATTTTCTATTAAATTCTTGTTAATTTTCTGTGGTGTTTATCACAGCAGCGTCTCCAGCGTCTCTGTACGTGGCCCCTCCCACCAGAGCAGCACAAATGAAGACTTGTCTCTTTCCAAACGCTCTTAAAGGACGATCGTTTTGACTGTTGACCGTGACACCCTCATCAGAAAAATGTCCAACATGAGAAAAGTGGAGCCGAGTGCAGGATTTTACAACAAAAATGGACGACTTCCTATTTCTACAAGTTAATTTTAAACAGGTTCCTGTTAAAATATTGTGTTGAAATTGTTTTTTTCTTAAAGTTTCAGGTTGTTCATAATATAATATTTTGTAAAAGAAAGAGTTCATCAATTAAAAAAGATTTCTGTAATAGATTTGTGTTTCTCTGCACAAATATTTGAACTTATTGTTATTTTTGGGGTTTATATGACATGAGTTTTCTGATCCGGACACTTTGGGATCAAAGTCGGTTGGATACGACCCCCGGATCAAAATGAGATTGACACTCCTGCAATAAAAGCTCCAGACTCACCTGAACACACCGCTCCTCCGCTGATCCTGGTCCTGGTCTGGTCCTGGTCCAGCCCCGTTTTGGACCTGGATGGTTTAGTTCTGGTGGTTTTGTTTCGGTGGATGTTGAGGCAGAGACTGAGTCGGTGGATTCGCGGTAAACCGTTTATCTCTGATGCTCCGGGGCTTTGGTTACATCTTTTTCTCCTCGTCTTCTTGTTTTTTTTTTTTTTTTTGTCCACTGTGCGTCTTTTTACGTCCTCTCACCGGTTAATAAACACTCCTGTCCGACTACACTGAAGTTTTTCAACCCTTCGATCCACAAACAGAGCAGTTTAGACGCGCGTTTTCACTGTGTTTTTCTCGTTTTGACTCACTTAGCTTCATTAGCTCCGTTCCCATAGCAACGGTCCGTCAGCTGAACGAGTCCGAGTGGAAACAGTAGACACGGAGAGAGACCGGGTTCCTTCAACTTTTATTTATTTTATTATTATTATTATTATTATTATTATTATTATTATTATTATTTCTTTCTATTATTATTTTATTTTATTTTTTGTTCCTTCAACTTTTAATTTAGCCCGTCGGAAATGTACACAGGTTCTAAAATAAATACACACATAAACAAAATGAAAGGCTTTTTTTTTTTTTCTTCTTAAGAGTAAAGAATTTTGTCTAAATGTTTAACTTACTACTTTCTACAACAACGCAGCAGATTCTTCTTATTATTATTATTTATTTATTTATTTTATTTTATTTTTTTGTTCTTTCAACTTTTAATTTAGCCCATTGGAAATGTACGAAAGAGCATTGTAGTCAGTGAAAAAAAAAAAAAATCTGGAGGGGGGAAGGGAGGGGGGATTATCTCGTAATTACGAGATTATCTCGTAATTACGAGATAGTATCTCGTAATTCACTGACTACAATGCTCTTTTGTAGAAATGTACACAGGTTCTAAAATAAATACACATATAAACAAAATGAAAGGCTTTTTTTTTTTTTTAAAGAGTAAAGAATTTTGTCTACATGTTTAACTTACTACTTTCTACAACAACGCAGCAGATTATTATTATTATTATTATTATTATTATTATTATTATATTATTAATTTATTAATTAATTTATTTTATTTTTTTTGTTCCTTCAACTTTTAATTTAGCCCATCGGAAATTTGTACCGGTTATATTATTATTTTTTCTTTCTTATTATTTTATTTTATTTTTTGTTCCTTCAACTTTTAATATAGCCCGTCGGAAATGTACACAGGTTCTAAAATAAATACACATATAAACAAAATGAAAGGCTTTTTTTTTTTTTTTTTTTTTTTAAGAGTAAAGAATTTTGTCTACATGTTTAACTTACTACTTTCTACAACAACGCAGCAGATTATTATTATTATTATTATTATTATTATTAATTAATTTATTCATTAATTATTTTATTTTTTTTGTTCCTTCAACTTTTAATTTAGCCCATCGGAAATTTGTACCGGTTATATTATTATTTTTTCTTTCTTATTATTTTATTTTATTTTTTGTTCCTTCAACTTTTAATATAGCCCGTTGGAAATGTACACAGGTTCTAAAATAAATACACATATAAACAAAATGAAAGGCTTTGTTTTATTATTATTAATATTATTATTATTATCATTATTATTATTATTATTATAACATTTTATTTTTTTTAAATAATGAATTTCGTCTAAATGTTGAACGTAGTACTTTCTAGAAGAGCAGCAGGCGGCGCTAGAGTTTCCCGTTCTGAACGTAAACAAACAGGCTTAGCATTAGCATTAGCATTAGCATTAGATTTTTCTGTCTCGGGTAAGTCATTAAAACAAACCAGTGCAGAACATGACACATTTTATTTTATGTTTTTTCTCGCTGTTTCTTACGGTTCAATCGATAAACTGATCAGAGCTTTTATTGTTTTGTAAAACCCGTATTACCGGTTTAAGGCAGTGCAAGCGGAACCTGGTTAAAACAATATGAAATCACGCATTTTTTATTACTAACTATAGTATTTTGCACGAACGCGCTTGTGGAAACAAATGTAATAGCGCAATATTCTGTTCGGCATATAGTTTATTTTCACATGAAGTTTATATTATCGCATTTGAGGAAAATTGTTTAGGAAACACTGGATCTTTTGAAAGACGAAGCGCTTAAATAAGATGAAACGTCCAAGGGGGTTTTGTGCGAAAATGATCTCAATGTTAAGACCTTATATGTAACTTTAAAGCAAAAAATAGGCTAAAATAAAATTATGTTTGTTCATTTTACATGTTTTTATTGCACTGAAAAACATAGAAAAGCATGCTTCCTCACTGTGAGCGGGCTTGCATCTCCACAAACCTGACTCGGCAGTTTGGCTTTGAAGATCCTCCTCCTGCTTCTTTGGAAATAATGGAAATGTTGTTCTTCAGGCTTTAATCGTCCACAGAATGGAACAAAACAATAGCAAAATCAATCTCCGAGGAGAATGTTCCTAACTATGATTTTAACTTTCTATTTCTTTTTGATTTTCTGGACATCAGTGGTTTATCTTTTATTCCTTAATCCTAAAGTTGCATTGATCTGAGTTCTTCTTCTTCTTGTCACAGCTGGCCAAACTTGGAGTCTCTGCTGGAGTCCACGGTCAGTCTGGATGATGGTGAAACAGCAGCAGAGACGCACAGATCGGTCAGTCACACATTTAAATCATTATTTCATGAATTATAAAACCGTATTTGAAGATTAAACCTTTTACTTTTTGTCTGTGTGCAGGTGTTTTTTACCCGGGGGCAGTAATAATGTGACGCTGGTTCGATTCCCGACTCCACAGAGATGTCCTCATCCGTCACATGAAGGACACCAACCTCCTCAGGTGGGTGTAGTTTTCATTTTGCACTGGTTCAATCCTGGTTTATTACAGACATTTTAAAGAGTCATATTAGACATTTTATTTGAACCATGTTACAACACTGTTCCCTCGTCATTAGTGGGACTGGTGCTTTCACCTGCGGTAATTATTGTAAATACCAAAACCTGGCATTGAAATTGCACATGAACACCCACTCACGTCGTCATTTCCACTGGAAGATGAGAGAAACTTTGACCTTTCAACACGGCGAAGAGCAGAGGAAGTGTCATTTACAGCATATTATTTAAAATATACAAAAATATACAGCAGCATGTTATTTAACCGACCACTGGCGTTTTGATGCGTTCTCTTCTGACTGTAGCAAATGAATTACACAGCAAAAACTTGAGGGTTAAAATATCAGGGTAAAATATTTCTGAGTTATTTTAAACATGTTATTTTAACTATTTGAAAGTTAAATGTGGTTATTTGCTAGAGTTGATTTGGCTGAAGTTAATTTGGGTGTTAATTTGTCTCCTCCCACCACCACTTCAAATTTCCGCCAGAGTAGACCAGTTTGAACCAGTTTTGTTCACAATTTCATCTTAAATTAACTCAAATAATGTGTAAAAATAAAACACCTCTCTGTGTTGTTTAGATAAATCAGGATAACTCTACAAAGTGTTATCCATTTACTCTCAAAACCTTAATATAACTCTGAATTTTGGGTTAAACAGGAACTTTGGTCCAGTGTGACTTCATGAACATTTCCAAAAATGTTAAATTAACTCTAGAACAGATTGGACTCAAATAAACCCTGAGAAAATGTTCAAATTGATTCTGTGAGAGTTAATTTTAACACTCCACTTTTTTTGTGTAGTGAGCCTAAAACTGTTTTACTCAAGTAACAGATCAGGATAAACTCGGCCATGTTTCACCTCACCACGTCAACAAATGCACTTGAACGCAACACACTTGTAATTTCTACTTCACAATAGAAAGTTTCAGCTTTCCCACACCACGTGAAGGCAGCATCACACACACCTCTAGATACACATGAGTGAATCATGATACTTTTAAAGAACGTAAATTCATTATAACTTGCAGAGTTATAGTTAAATTAACCTACATCAACCAGTGCATTCAGGCTGAATCTGCTCGGTTCAAGAGCGACTAAGGCATTTTGTTATTTTACATAATCAAAACAGAGGGTGACTGCTACAGTTTAGAGCAGGAGTCTCCAAACTTTTTCTTCCTGTGAGCTCCTTTACAAAACAAAAATGCCAGAGAGCTGCTGAAAAGAGTGGGCGAAAGAAACTGAGACATTATAAGAAAGAGCGAGAGCCTTTGCTTACGGCGGTGTTTTTCAACCTTTTTGGAGCCACGGCACGTTTTTTACATTGGAAAAATCTTGCGGCACACCACTAACCAAAGTTTTACAAAATGACACTATACAGTATATTTAATTACAATATAATTTCTACATTAATTTCTACTTACTCAGTGTGAGACCTGCGCCTGTTTAGATGAACACAAAGCTGATATCCTGCAGGAATAGAAGAAAGACACACACGAAGCTCTTCATCAACAGCTCTCAGTCTCTCTCTGTTTTTAGTTTTTATAGCAGTTAAGCTTGAAAAGCTCTTCTTCTGGGTCAGAATCTTGTCCAAGGCCCAGTTTGGAGTTCGCATTCGTCCGTTTTAAAAACTTCTCCATGACTGTCACCACGCACATGCTTTACTAATTCTTTTAAAGGAACGAGGCAGTTAGCTGCCTGTTGCCACCCAGACGAATATTAGATCACTCTGCCGGTCATTATATACTCCACTGTAGTATAGTGTCTGTGCTGTAGTAAGTACAGCACGGACACTCGACAATGACATCATATTTGCAGGTAATAATTAATAAATTTTAATTAAAAAAAAGTGATATTGGATAATTTCTCACGGCACACCTGACGATCTCTCACAGCACATTAGTGTGCCCTGGCACAGTGGTTGAAAATCACTGGCTTACGGTTAGACGCCTATAAAACCTAAACCAGGTGTCTCCAAACTTTTTCACTCTAATGAGCTTCTTTACAAAACGAAAATGTCAGAGAGCTGCTTATTTTAGCATCGTAAGAAATTGAGTAAATATAAGAGCCACAGCCTTAGATACAAACAATTAGAGGCCTATAAATCATGCACCATCATCCATTTATTAGTGCAGAAAGTGACGTTAGCAGTGAAAATTATACATTTACGATTTTATTAGTCATTCTATTCATCTAATTTTTGTTACTCAGCTAAAAACTTATAATTCAGAAATTGTTTGGCGAGCTACTTGGAAGGGGGTGGTGAGTATTTGACCCGTGTCTAATATTAAACCATTTTAGATCAATCTCGCTGTTTACGATTAATAAAATATAAAATGACGATCTGTTTTAAAACTAAATCCCAGTTTTGATTTCAGGCTCCAGTGAGAGAAACGCAGGGAGAACACGGAGAACCTGAGACTAAAAGGATCTGCATTTCTGGGTAAAAACTGCTCCTGTTCATATTTGACTGTGTTTAGTGTAAATCTTTAGTGAATAAAAGTCTTCATTTGTTTGTTTGTTTGTTTGTTTGTCAGATCGGAGCAGAGTTTGGACAGAGAGACTGCTCCAGAGTCATGTGACCAAACAGGAAGTAACATGTGCTCCTCAGAAGGTATTTTTTATTTTAAGGTTATTTTAATAGATCCATGTTTTTTCTGTTCATAAACACAGTCTGGAGTGTTTTTGTGTTTTTTTTGTTTTTTTTTAACAAATGTGTGTGTGTTTTTTCAGACCGACTGAGTCCTGGAGATGAGAGTGTCCAGCAGGTGGTGCTAGAGAACAACGAGGACAACAGAGCAACAGAGGTACAGAACTAACCTGGTTTAGGTCTGGTTTAGACCTGGTTCAGTCCTGGTCCTGGTTCAGTCCTGGTCCTGGTTGAGTTCTGGTTCTGGTTCTTGTAGTTGGCGTCTGGAGGGTGTCTGAAGGTGACGATCCAGAGGAGCAGTGAGAGTCGAGAGTTTGGGGAGAAGGACCCTGCCAACGAGCGCTTCACCTGTCACCTGTGCCACTGCACCTGCCCGTCTGCGCAGGTGAAACACATTTAAAAGTGACGTGTGTGTGTGTGTGTGTGATGGTCAGAGGAGCCAATGGTGCAGATTGGCACCCATGCTGCTGTCAGTCTGCCCCAGGGCAGCTGTGGCTACAATTATAGTTTACACCACTGAGTGTTGAGCCAATCTTTCTTCTTTCTTCTTTCCAATCTTTCTTGGGTGTCTTGAAAGGCGCTCTATAAATGCAATGATTAATTAATTTAAAAAATCGTTCAGTAAAGGTTGTATGGAGGATTTTTTTTGTTTCAAATTGTCAGTGATAGATTATAGATGCAGTCGCCTTGTAATTATGATGACCAAAAAAAAGAGAATAAAAATTCATCAACTCTGGACGTGGTGGGGCTAAACATTTGCCAATAGATAACGACACTGCCTCGTTATCTGTGAGCTGACAGGCTGTCAATCAAACTCCCTACGTTTCTAGTGTAACTGACTTGCCTGCGCCGCCGGTACGTGGTTTACGTACGACTGTCACACAGTCCACAGACGCAAGACGCACAGACGCTGTTTACTCCACCAACGCAACAGTTCTTAGCGGCTTTTTTGACCTATATCTTCCTCGCAGTTTGCACAAAGTTTGTTGCAATGGCGACAAGAATCCAGGAGCAGTTTGCCACAAAAGAAAGTCAGTTTTTGAGGTCGCTGAAAGAAGAAGACAAGGGGAAAAGCAGCGAAGCCAAACTAAGGTGATTCTTGGAGATTCATTCCAGCGATGGCGCGACTGAAGCAGACGAAGGGTCTAAAGACTGAACCACTGGTCCACAAATTACTCCTGGACAGGAAACTTCTGCTTATTATGAAAACGTACTTTATTTCCAAGAGCGAGACAAACGTTTTTCAGGACACGAATGCGATATCCTATGTCTGAAAACTTAATTTTCAAGGCAAAGAAAGAGTCCGCTTGCTGCTGCGTGTTGTAGTAGTAGCTAGTTCATTCGCACAAAATCGCGCACCCTTCTCTGCACCGCTCCCCGCTGCCCGTTCCGCTCTTCTCCCTGCTCCTCACGGAATCTCCGCGCACAGAATCTCCGCGCACCACTCCCCTCTCCTCTCCCCTCTTCTCTCTCCTCTCCTCGCTCCCCGCACCGCTCTTCCCCCCGCTCCTCACTTCTCCGTCTTGTCTAACCAACACTGTAGTTAGTTGTTTACAAGTCATGTGCAGCACCGGCTGTAAACAAACCTGTTTCTGGCGTAAGGAGGAGGAGGGAGGAGGCGTTTCTACGTAGGAGCTGTAGGGGAGGGGAGGTGGTTTCACGCATGTGCAACATTTGAAAAAGGACAAACAGTCGCTGGATTTCTCCTTCCTTGGAAAATCCTCTATACAACCTTTAATTAATGTGAATGAAACAAAACACAACTCTGTTTGTGTTTGTGATGAGGAACACAAAATACAGAAGTTTTAATACCCAGACTAAGGTAGATTTAAAAAAGGTCTGGGTCTGGTCAGTACTTGGATGGAGACACTGGGAAAATCAGGAGCCACAGTGGGGCGAGGGAATAACTGTTGTTGTGTCCTTAGGCAAGACACTTCACCCACATTGCCTAGTATGAAAGTGGTGTGTGCGTGAGTGATGGTGGTGGTCGGAGGGACCGATGGTGCCGATTGGCATGGCAGCTGCGCTTCTGTCAGTCTGCCCCAGGGCAGCTGTGGCTACAGTAGTAGTTTACCATCAGCAGGTACAGAGTGAATGAATAATGCTGAATAATAAAGAGTCTTTGTGACAAAATGTGTGTGAAAAGCGCTATAGAAATAAAGATTTACTTCCTTACTTATTCAGTCCTGGTTCAGTCTTGTTTGTTTCTTCAGTCGTTCCATGAGCACATGAGTGGAGTGGATCATAATCGCAGACTGCAGCAGGTTTCACAGAGCGTCACACAACCCGGGTGAGTCTCACACACACACACACACAAACACACACACACACACTCTGTCTCTTTCTTACCTGACTCCTGGTCTGCAGTTGTGCGGCGGTGGTGTTGCAGGAGTCCTGTAGGCGGCGCCGTAGAGCCTCTGTGCGCTGGTGTGACGTGTGTCAGAGCAACTTCACCGGAGACGTGATTCTGCACAGACGCACAATACAACACAAGGTCAGAGAACACACACACACACACAATACAACACAAGGTCAGAGAACACACACACACACACAATACAACACAATACAACACAAAGTGAGTGAAGATATTAAAATAAGTCAGAGCTAAAGTATAAACTGGAGTGGCCCGGGTTGAACTGGGAACGAAATTTGGCATTTTTCCTCTGGACCAGCCCGCCACGCTCAGTTTGATATTGAGAGCTGGCGCCCAGGTCAGGATTCGGAATCCAGACGTTGCTCACTACATCATGGTTCACCATTCGCAGTCTCTCTGTTTGTCAGATTTTTTTTTTTCAATTTAGCTTTTTTTTTTACAGTGTATGAACGTGCATTGTGTTCCTTCCCCTGCGTCCTGATTGGCTGTAGACTGTTGTCAATCAGTCTCCTCTATGCCGTGTCTCCTGTTCAATACAGACGAGTTCAGCCAAACGGACATAAATGTTGGATCTGTATCAGTGTGATTCTGAAGTGCTGTATGTTTGCAAGTTTTCTCCCTGACAAAACCACAATGTCGATAAAACGTACTGCACCGACAAAGACTCCCGTGGTCGCACCAAAAAAACAGAGGAAGATGTAACCATCGCACAAAAAGTTGGACTTCTGGCCACGCTGAAGGAAGAGAGAAGTTACGCTGTTGTAGACGCCGTTACAGAATAAATTAATCATCCGTTCATTACATAAAGAAGGAGGAAAATAACAAAAGGACGACAGCAGCAGTACGTTTTAAGAAGGATGTAAAAAGGATTAACTGTCCGGTGTGAGAAAAGTGTATAAAGTGTGTGTTGAGGGGTTTTACAGACTTAAAAGAGACAGAATAATTGTCAAAAATAAAGCTGACTACTTATATTATATTTAGAATGTAACCCTTGCAAAAAACGAGGGAACACTGTACTCTAGACGGTTTGAAGAATCCTGGAAGTTGTAGACAGCGCACCGGCCAATCATCTGTGATCTGTGAAACCATGACGTCAAACCGGTGGCATCTGTCTGTGTCTCTTTTGTGGAACAGAACAACAGTAAACAAAGCGTCGAGATGGATGTAGACGAAGACAGACATTCTGTGTTGGCGACGATTCCCCAGATCCCCGAGGATTTAAACAGAACAAAGAGAATGTTTTATGTTATTAGGTTCTTTTTCTCAGACCTAGAGTGTTATTTCATACCTGACAGTTTGTTCTGCTCACTAGCGTCTTCCTCAGAGTCATGTGATGTTGCTGTGACGTGTCTGGTCAGCTGATTTAAACAGGTTTTGGCGCTGTCTTCCTACCGGTGGAGGCAGGACGACAGCGCCACCTGCAGTCCCACTTCCTCAGGACAGCATCCCAGGTGTGTGAGAGTAAAAAAGCCCCTCGTCCCGGTTTATCGTCCTGTGGGCACGTTTCCGTATTTCGTTTGCTTCTTTAATCCAGCGGCGATGTTTGTTTTCCTCTGTCCCAGTGATGTTTGCTCCGTCCCGTCCATAACGTGGTTCTCTCTTTTACAATGGTCAGAAACGGCCGATTTCAGTTCTTCCTGTTCTGCTTTATGTTTTGTTTCTCGTGTTTCGCCTTCGCTGTTTCCTTCTTGCATTCTGTTCTATGTTCCTTTTTTCGTGTACTGAAGTCTTCCCTGTTTCCCCGATGTGTGTTTTATTTCAGGACATGCAGGGTATTTCTTATATTACATTACATTTATGCTCCAGTTCTATTTTGTCTTTCGGGTGGACGAGTATTTGTCTGAGTTTTCTGTACGGTTTCACTGGTGTGTTGATATTGTGTTTTTTCATCGCCCTCTGTACTTTTTCTGTTATGCCCCTGATGTATGGTAATGTTCCCATGCCTGTGCTCATTTTTTCTGTTTTGTTTTTGTTTCTTTGGTTCTGTTTTTCTTTCTCCTTAACCTGTTGTTTCCCTTTGTTTATTGCCCATTTTGGGTATTGGCATTGCCTTAGCGCATTGTGAATGTGTCTGTCTTCTTCCTGTTTGTCTTGTGCATCTGTTATGATGTTGGTTCTGTCAAACAATGTTCTTACAACGGAGAGTTTGTGGGCTGTGGGATGTTCTGATGTCCATAGGAGATCGTTTGGTGAATGTTATCAAGAGAAAAGACGTGATTGTTCTTCTTCCTACAGGATTTGGAGCATTACAAACATCACGACCAAACAGCAGCAACTGGTTAAATAAAAAAAGTCCCCGCCTACTGTCGAGTGAACGAATCCTAATGCTGCGAGGTCACACAGTTTCCACCAAGTGAAACCAGCACCTCAGGCCCAAATGCGCTCTGAGAAGCTCTGGCCCAGGGTCAGATCACGGTCCATACTGATGATCGCGCATGTGTGTGTGTGTGTGTGTGTCTGTGTGTGTGTGTGTCTGTGTGTGTGTGTGTGTCTGTGTGTCTGTGTGTGTGTGTGTGTGTGTCTGTGTGTGTTGTGTGTGTGTGTGTGTGTTTTGTTTTCAGGAGTGTAAGAAGTGGTCTCGGCCGTTCTGCTCCGTGTGTCACCGACTCTTCAGAACTCCACGGAAGTTTGTGGAGCACATGAAGAGCCCCGCCCACAAACAGAAGGTGAGGACACAGAACCGGGTCTAGTCCTGGTCTAGTCCTGGTCTAGTCCTGGTCTAGTCCTGGTTTAGTCTGGTTTAGTCTCGAATGTGTAGTCCTGGTGTAGTCTTAGTTTTGTCCTGGTTTAGTTCTGGTTTAGTCCCGGTTTAGTTCTAGTTTAATCCTTGTTTTGGTACTGCTGTTATCCTGGTTTAGTCCTGGTTTAGTTCTGGTTTAGTCCTTGTTTTTATTCTTGTTTTTAGTCCTGGTTTAGTCTCAGTTAGACCAAGTTCACATCTGAGTCATATCCTGGTTTAGACCTGGTTCACGTGTGGTTCAGATCCTAGTTTAGTTCCAGTTTAGACCTGGTTCATATCCTGTTTTAGTCCTGGTCTAGTCCCAGTTTAGTTCCGATTCAGTCCTGGTTTAGTCCTGGGTTCAGATCTGGTTCAGATCCTGGTTTAGTCCCTGTTTTTGGACTTTTTTTTTTCAGGTCCAGTTGGAGAAATCTCAGGAAGACGACATGATCACCGTGGACGCCGTGGGCTGCTTCGAAACTGAAACCAAGGAGGGAGGAGACAAGGAGGAGGAGATGAGGAGGCAGGAGACGAGGAGGGAGGAGATGAAGAGGGAGGAGACAAGGAGTCAGAGAAGGATATCAAACAAGGTGGCAAAGAGGAATCCAGAAGAGAGGAGACTTCAGAAGGAGACAAGGATGCACAGCTAGGAGAGAGACTAGGAAGCATAGACTTAGAACAGAGAGGAGACAAGGAGAAAGGAGATAAGGAACTAGAAGGCAAGGACATAGGAGACAAGGGCATAAGGAAGGGAGCAAAACAAGGAGACCAAGAAGAAGAAATGGAATTGGACCAGAAAGAAAACCGAGCAAGAGGAGATGAGGACATAGGAGAGAAGGAGAGAGGAGACAAGGAGCAAGGAAACAAGGAGAGAGGAGACAGGGATGTAGGAGAGAACGAGAGAGGAGACAAGGAGAGAGGAAATAAGGAGAGAGAAGACAAGGACATAAGAGAGAAGGAGCAAGGAGACGAGGACATAGAGGAGAAGGAGAGAGGAGACAAGGGCATAGAGGAGAAGGAGAGAGGAGACAGGGACATAGAGGAGAAGGAGAGAGGAGACAGGGACATAGGAGAGAAGGAGAGAGGAGACAAGGACATAGAGGAAAGGAGAGAGGAGACAGGGACATAGGAGAGAAGGAGAGAGGAGACAAGGACATAGGAGAGAAGGAGAGAGGAGAGAAGGAGAGAGGAGATGAGGACATAGGAGACGAGGAGGGATTTGACGCGGAGGATCTGACGGTGGACGACTTTAAACGTTTTGCGGTAACTTCTAACTTTTAAAAATAAACTAAACTACTATTTTAAAGGCACATTGTGTAACTTTTCTGGTTGTGGGTCCGTCACCTGCTTGTTTCTATGGATACGTCACTGCTCTGCCTGGAATGTTCCACAGTGTGACTTTAAACATCTCGACTTTACATCTATTCAATCCCAGGTGGATTTAAAGCTCAAAAAACACCAAGAAAACCAGACATTGTGAGTGTGAGGGGGGGTCGCCTCTCCACAGATCTGACCTGGAACTTGGTCTGGTTTGGTCTCCATGGAGATAGAAAGGTTTAAAGCCATACTGTGGAACATTTTGACAGATTCTCCACCAGAAAAGTGACAGTGCACCTGTAATAAAGAGAATAATGTTATATTCTGTTTGTGTTTTCTGAAGCAGGACGACGTCAGGAGAGACTCGACACAGGAGTTGAACCCTCAACCCGCCCACGGTAAGACTTTTACAACGACGCCAGCTCCCACTGCGGGGGGGCGAGTGTGAAGCGTTTTCTGTTACGTCAAATGTGTCATAGGTGAATCTGCCGCGTCATGTTTATACAATATCAGACACATGTGAAGTATTTGTACTTGTACTGTTGTTGTACGTGTATTTGTATTTGTATTTGTATTTGTACTTGTACTTCCAGGCGAGTCGTTCGTCGTCCCCGTCAGCGGTTTCTTCTGTCTCTTGTGTCATAAATTTTTCTTCAGAGAAACATCAGCACGAGAACAACACTGCAGCTCCCCCCAGCACCTCCAGAGAGTACTACAGGTACTACAAACTACTACTACTACTACTACTACTACTACTACTACTGTTACACCCCCAACACCTCCACAGAGTACTACAGGTACTACAAATACTACTACTACTACTACTACTACTACTACTACTGTTACACCCCAACCTCCACAGAGTACTACAGGTACTACAAATACTACTACTACTACTACTACTACTACTACTACTGTTACACCCCCAACACCTCCACAGAGTACTACAGGTACTACAAATACTACTACTACTACTACTACTACTACTACTACTACTACTACTACACCTACCCAACACCTCCACAGAGTACTACAGGTACTACAAATACTACTACTACTACTACTACTACTACTACTACTACTACTACTGTTACACCCCCAACACCTCCACAGAGTACTACAGGTACTACAAATACTACTACTACTACTACTACTACTACTACTACTACTGTTACACCCCCAACACCTCCACAGAGTACTACAGGTACTACAAATACTACTACTACTACTACTACTACTACTACTACTACTACTACTACTGTTACACCCCCAACACCTCCACAGAGTACTACAGGTACTACAAATACTACTACTACTACTACTACTACTACTACTACTACTACTGTTACACCCCCAGCACCTCCACAGAGTACTACAGGTACTACAAATACTACTACTACTACTACTACTACTACTACTACTACTACTACTGTTACACCCCCAACACCTCCACAGAGTACTACAGGTACTACAAATACTACTACTACTACTACTACTACTACTACTGTTACACCCCCAACACCTCCACAGAGTACTACAGGTACTACAAATACTACTACTACTACTACTACTACTACTACTACTACTACTACTACTACTACTGTTACACCCCCAACACCTCCACAGAGTACTACAGGTACTACAAATACTACTACTACTACTACTACTACTACTACTACTGTTACACCCCCAACACCTCCACAGAGTACTACAGGTACTACAAATACTACTACTACTACTACTACTACTACTACTACTACTGTTACACCCCCAACACCTCCACAGAGTACTACAGGTACTACAAATACTACTACTACTACTACTACTACTACTACTACTACTACTGTTACACCCCCAACACCTCCACAGAGTACTACAGGTACTACAAATACTACTACTACTACTACTACTACTACTACTACACCCCCAACACCTCCACAGAGTACTACAAATACTACTACTACTACTGTTACACCCCCAGCACCTCAACAGAGTACTACAGGTACTACAAATACTACTACTACTACTACTACTGTTACACCCCCAACACCTCCACAGAGTACTACAGGTACTACAAATACTACTACTACTACTACTACTACTACTACTACTACTACTGTTACACCCCCAACACCTCCACAGAGTACTACAGGTACTACAAATACTACTACTACTACTACTACTACTGTTACACCCCCAACACCTCCACAGAGTACTACAAGTACTACAAATACTACTACTACTACTACTACTACTACTACTACTACTACTACTACTACTACTACTACTACTGTTACACCCCCAACACCTCCACAGAGTACTACAGGTACTACAAATACTACTACTACTACTACTACTACTACTACTGTTACACCCCCAACACCTCCACAGAGTACTACAGGTACTACAAATACTACTACTACTACTACTACTGTTACACCCCCAACACCTCCACAGAGTACTACAGGTACTACAAATACTACTACTACTACTACTACTACTACTACTACTACTACTACTAACACCTCCACAGAGTACTACAGGTACTACAAATACTACTACTACTACTACTACTACTACTACTACTACTACTACTGTTACACCCCCAACACCTCCACAGAGTACTACAGGTACTACAAATACTACTACTACTACTACTACTACTACTACTACTACTGTTACACCCCCAACACCTCCACTACTACAGGTACTACAAATACTACAAATACTACTACTACTACTACTACTACTGTTACACCCCCAACACCTCCACAGAGTACTACAGGTAATACTACTACTACTACTACTACTACTACTACTGTTACACCCCCAACACCTCCACAGAGTACTACAGGTACTACAAATACTACTACTACTACTACTACTACTACTACTGTTACACCCCCAACACCTCCACAGAGTACTACAGGTACTACAAATACTACTACTACTACTACTACTGTTACACCCCCAGCACCTCAACAGAGTACTACAGGTACTACAAATACTGCTGTAATCACTACTACATCTCCCAACACATCACACGTGTTCTACCAGTATTAATACTGCAAATACTACTATTACTACTACCACTAGTACTGCTACTACTGCTGTTCCACCCACAGCACTTCAACTAAGTACTAACACTAAAGTACTGAGTAAAAATGATTCTTCTGAAAGACTTTCCTCACACTTCCTGTTTGTCTGTTTGTGTTTGTGTTTTCAGAGGTGAGGTGGACCAGACTCACGCTTCACAGTGACGAGGTTCAGGGTTCGAGTCCCGGGTCCCTCAGGTTTGTCTGTGTGGAGTTTGCAAGTTCTGCCTGTGCCTGTTTCCTCTGGGCTCTATGGACTCTCCCTTCAGCCCAAAACAAACTCCAGCCCCAACAGTCCTGACCAAGACCTGACCAAGACCAAGACCTGACCAAGACCTGACCAAGACCTGACCAGGACCTGACCAGGACCTGACCAAGACCTGACCAAGACCTGACCAAGACCTGACCAAGACCTGACCAAGACCTGACCAAGACCTGACCAAGACCTGACCAAGACCTGACCAAGACCTGACCAGGACCTGACCAAGACCTGACCAAGACCTGACCTGACCAAGACCTGACCTGACCAAGACCTGACCTGACCAGACCTGACCAGACCTGACCAAGACCTGACCAAGACCTGACCAGACCGACCTGACTGACCAGGACCTGACCAAGACCTGACCAACCTGACCTGACCAGACCTGACCAGACCTGACCAGGACCTGACCTGACCAGAGACCTGACTGACCTGAGGAGGAACCTGACCAGGACCTGACCAGGACTAGAGGAAGATCTGGAGATGGTCCCTGGACTCCTGAGGTTCCACAGAGACTCTGAAGGACTCAGGAGTCAAACACAGAGACACATTTACCTGCGGCGATGAAGAAGTATAATAAATAAAATAAATAAAGACAGGAGTGCAGGAGTGAGCAGGTCTAAATACACAGGTGACCTGGTTTATGGGTCAGATCTGTGATTCCTGGGCCTATTCACATGAAACAAAAACTGTCACAAAGTTCAGCCTCTTCTGTCAGTGTGGAAGAAAGAAAGGAGCTGTTTGTAAGATTTAGATTTTAAATTCCATAAACAATGACCCAAGTGTCAGTTTCAGTGCTCGAGATTCACACGAGTCCTGAACATAAACTGAGAATAAAGAGACAAACTCTGACGTGTTTCTGTGTCTCTGTGTTTTTTTCTGCAGGTGAAAACACTCTGACTCCAAATGAGTTTAGACTGTGGAAAGGAAAAGACGTCGTGTTTGTCTTTGTTTCTCTGGACTGGACGTCTACAGCGTGAACACTTGGACCAAAAGGCTCTGAAGAAGAAATGATTTTAGAGAGTTTTTAAAAAGGTCCAGCAGAGGGCGCTGTTTATTCACGAGAAACAACAGTAGAACTTTCCCCAAAGATTTTTTTTTAATGTATGTTTATTAAGAACATCACAATCACATTAGACAAACCAGATGGATTGGTTTGAGTGTTTTAGCACAAGTGCCAGTTTTCAACACCTGCCCATAGAAAAAATAAATAAAAATTACATGCATAAAAACAGACAAGACAAGACACACATGGACCCGGTCAAGCAGAAGTAAACATCAAGGCCAAAAATTCAAGTTAATTCATCTGATATAAAAATGTATTGAACAGATACATATGTACTCTAGTTTATGAAACTGTTGACCTTTTTTCTGGACCATTTTTGGTTCTAAAGTTCCATCCGTTTTAAACAGACCATGTATGAAACATGGAACAAAAATTATTTCCCAAATTTCAAAGACCTGCAAATCATGTAAATAAATGGATGTATTTCATCATATCTTGTGTTATTCCATCTTTGAACTGTTGATGAAGGGACAGGATTTTTAAAAAAAAAAAGTATTTAAAATGATAAAAATGTTCTTGGAAGGACTGACATATTTTATAGAAATAGTTTCTTTCATTTTGAAGTAATATTAAAGTTTTCAGAAGAAAAAAGCCACAAATGATGTAAAATCCTGCACCTTCTACTTGTTTGTACAATTTTCCCTCCGTTACTTTTCCCTCCGTTACCATGAACTTTCTTAATAAAAAATCTCATGAGTCAAAAAGTCTGAGGTTTTTCAACCTAATCTTGTACCATATGGTAGAAAACTATATGAAGCAAATATTCAAACCAGTTTGTTAAGGATATGGAAGTGAGAACCAAGAGTTATCACTGTTTGGATTTATTGACCAAAAAGTGCTGCATATTTCATTCCCTCCGTTACCGACATGAGTTTTTATTTTTTTGTCAACAAACTTGAAAGAATCTCACAGGTTTAACTTGACCCTGTTGGAGTGTAACTCTTTCCTACATTCTGATACTTTACTTATTTCAATAGTTTCATAACACATAATTCAACAGATAAAATTTTACATTTAAATTCGTTGTTGTTGATTTCCAATTTTAATTTAGCTGGTGAAAAATTAGTCAAGAATTACAAAGAGACTTGTTTGATGATGAGATGGATTACATATGATGAAGACTTTACCCCAAACTTTTACAACAAGACTTTTAAAACGAGGTCTGACAAGGGATTAAAGATATTTAATAGTTTGTATTTCAAAGGTTCCATGAGAAGTTTTCAAGACTTGAAACAAATTTACAATCTTGAAAACAAAGATTTGTACAGGTATCTTCAAACTCGTCCTTATTTTCAGTTCTACTTGTGTTCAGTCTGTGTGTGCAGTTTATGGTCCTGACAAAGTCTGAATACAGTTAAGACACTTAAAAAAGAATTTAAGAAGATTAAAATTGGTCAAATTTTCCAAGTTAAAAAGGTTCACTCCAGAATTACAATTCAACATCAGTGTACAAAAACAAGACTGGATCATAACAACACAATTAAATCTAATTATAAATAAAAACTATAAAGAACATTTGGTCTGATTTTGTCAGAATAAGATTTCTTTTTTTCTCACTAGTTTTACTGACAGACTCAGAGCCGTGACTAGAGGTGTAACGATGTCCAAATCTCACGATACGATATCGACACGGTATGAACCTCACACTATATTATATACTGATATTTATTGTGATATCGTGGGAGAGATCACGATATGATGTGGAGGCTCATGATTAGAGATGTAACAACATCCAAATCTCTCTGTACGATATTTTCAGGATGTACATCTCACAGTACGATATTTATTGTGATATTTTGTGGAGACTAAAACTGTAAATATGCGACACTTTCTTTTTAAAATGCCTTGACAAAACTTAATAGAAAAAACTAAGAGTTAAAAGTGTTAGAACTGTTATTTCTTCTTGTCGTCTGCACTGAAATGGAGCAAAGGATCATGGTCTATGTAGTTCCTCTGTGTTTTTTTATCTATTGGTGCATCATAACTCTTCATTTAAGCAAAGACACTTGTAATTCGATATATTGTGAGAACTTTAACGATACGATATCACCATATTTCGGTTATTGTTACATCTCTGGTCGTGATGTGACATGGACAAGATTTTGTACATTTCTTGTTTCCTGTGGGTCTGTACATGGACTAGTGTGCGTCATGTTGTGTTGTTGTTGTTGTTGTTGTGTAGTTTTTTTCCACACACACGACCTGAAGTGAGAGCTGAGATCTGCGTCGCCTCAGACACAAACCTGATCTGTGCTGTGAGTCTGGAGTCTTTATCGTTCTTTGCTGCATTTAGACGCCTCTTTAGCGGCCCCCTGCTGGAGCAATTACCCCCCTGCACCGAGAGCCGGGGCGCCCCTGTCGGCCCTGCCTGTCGGCCCTGCCTGTCGGCCCTGCCTGTCTGCTCCTGTCTGCTCCTGTCTCTTTACATTTTCACTCAGACTCTGGTCTCGTCGGTCGGAGGAGAGACTCGTGTTTGGAGCGGCTCAGATCTCAGACGTCAAGTACAAGAGTTTGAGAAGCTTCTCTGTTAGTTTCCCGATCACAGTGTTGGGAGTGTTACTTTTAAAACATATTCCCCTACAGATTACAGATTACAGATTACAGATTACATATCCCAAAATGTAGTTTGTAACAGAATCTATTAAATTACTTCAAATGAGTAATGTAATCTGAATACTTTGGATTACTTGATATTGTCGTGTTTTTTAAAACAACATGAATGAACCGACCACATCCTGAAAATTCTTCTTCTTTGAGTTTTTACTTGACCAGATTAAAAAAATATTATTGATAGAGAAATTATTTTTATATGAGAATATATACAATTATGTCCAACTACTGTTAGTGTCAAACTGGTTTAGACCTGGTTTAGATCTGGTTTAGATCTGGTTTAGACCTGGTTTTAGTCCTGGTTTAGACCTGGTTTTAGTCCTGGTTTTAGTCCTGGTTTTAGTCCTAGTCCTGGTTTTAGTCCTGGTTTTAGACCTGGTTTTAGACCTGGTTTTAGTCCTGGTTTTAGTGGTTTTAGACCTGGTTTTAGACCTGGTTTTAGTCCTGGTTTTAGACCTGGTTTAGACCTGGTTTTAGTCCTGGTTTTACCTGGTTTTAGACCTGGTTTTAGACCTGGTTTAGACCTGGTTTTAGACCCTGGTTTAGGGTTTTAGACCTGGTTTTAGACCTGGTTTTAGACCTGGTTTAGACCTGGTTTTAGACCTGGTTTTAGACCCTGGTTTAGACCTGGTTTAGACCTGGTTTTAGACTCCTGGTTTTAGTCCTGGTTTTAGTCCTGGTTTTAGTCCTGGTTTAGTTGGTTCAATGACCTGGTTTTAGATATTTTTTGTTGAGAGTTAAATTTCTGTAATAGTCGTGTCGTATTTTACATTTTAAACACAGTAATATTATAATGTAAAAAAATATTTTGAAATGACAATAACAAATCACAAATAAATAAGACATTACAGTTTTAAAGTCACTTGTCCAACAGTGACAGTTCAGTGGACGTGGAAAATAAATACATAGAAAATAAAGAACTGACTGTGAGATTTTTTTTTTCTTGGACAAACTTAAACGTCGCTCTGATCTGAACGGCGACATTTCCACCAGTTTGGGCACAGTTTCTGAAATAACTAAATCCACGTTCCAAAAAATAAGAGGATTCTGAAAATAATACAGAGAAAATGTGAAAAAGCGACGGTGATTGACAGCTCCTTCAGCGACGGCCATTTTGGATCGTAGCCTCCAGTTTCCTGCTCGCGTAAACGTTTTCTGCTTTTGTCGTTTTTTTTTTTTTCTTTTGTTCCTTTGTTTGAATCCACACAAAAAATGTGTCTCATTATTTTTTCCATTCACTTCTCTCTCTCCTCTGTACTCTACCGTCCTTTCTCTTTCTCTCCTTTTCTTCTCCCCCGTCGCTCTCGTTCTTCTCTCTCTCCCGATCTCTGTCTTTCTCTCTTTCTTTCTCTCCGTCTAAAAGTGCAGGTTTTGTGACAGGATTTGTGTCATGTTGGAGTGAGCTGTAATAACAGAGTGAAGCTGAAAGTGAAAGTGAAACTCGGAGTCACAGTGAACGTCTGACGAGCTTTAAAGACGACGTTTTTATGCTTCATACAAATCCAATTTTTAGAGTTTTCTCTCGTGTTCTGTATCATGTCTACGTTCAAACTGCACCTGAAGTGACTCAAATCTGATTTTTTGGCCCCTATGTTCCTGTATCTCACAGGTGTCAAACATACGGCCCGGGGGCCAGATCCGGCCCTCCAAGACCTTTAATCTGGCCCTCGACTGATTTTCTACTAAAATATTTTAATGATATTTTCTATTAAAATCTTGTTAATTTTCTGTGGTGTTTATCACAGCAGCGTCTCCAGCGTCTCTGTACGTGGCCCCTCCCACCAGAGCAGCACAAATGAAGACTTGTCTCTCTTTCCAAACGCTCTTAAAGGACGATCGTTTTGACTGTTGACCGTGACACCCTCATCAGAAAAATGTCCAACATGAGAAAAAAGTGGAGCCGAGTGCAGAATTTTACAACAAAAATTGACTTATTCCTGTTTACAGACAAGTTCATGTTAAAACTTTGTGTTGAAATTGTATTTTTCTTAAAGTTTCAGGTTGTTCATAATATTATAATATTTTGTAAAAGAAAAGAGTTCATCAATTAAAAACAGATTTCTGTAATAGATTTGTGTTTCTCTGCACAAATATTTGAACTTATTGTTATTTTTGGGGTTTATATGACATGAGTTTTCTGATCCGGACACTTTGGATCAAAGTCGGTTGGATACGACCCCCGGAACAAAATGAGTTTGACACTCCTGCTCCAGTGTCCTGAGTCTCCTCCTGGTGGGACATGAACACCTCCTGAGGGACACGTCCAGGAGGCATCAGAACAGACGTCCTCCCCTCAGTCGCTCCTCTCCACCTGGAGGAGCAGCGTCTCTACTCCGAGCTCCTCACTCTGTCTCTAAAGGAGCGCCAGACGCTCTGCGGAGGAAACTCATTTATTTATTTATTTGAGACGGGGGCAGTGCACAGTTTTTACATGAACATCAACAGGAGACGTGTTTGTTCCAGGTTGTAGCATCAGTGCAAATTTCCACTTGTCCCTGGACAGATTCATTGATTGTTTTTAATGAACCTGAACTCTCCACTGTTCCTCCTGGAGACATGGGTCATGTGTTGTTTTCTGTCGCTCGTATCGTGGATCTGGTCCTTCGGGTCATGACCAGAGGTGAGGGGAGGAACAGAGACTCAGCTCCTCTTCACCACAACGACCGATACAGAGACCACATCACTGCCCACACTGCACCTGTCCACCTGTCACACCTGTCAATCTCACCCTGTCCACCTGTCAGTCTGCCCACGCTGCACCTGTCCACCTGTCAATCTGCCCACGCTGCACCTGTCCACCTGTCAGT